CACGAAAGAAACAACGAACATATTAATCGCGATACTTCGGTGGCTGACGGCTAAATAATGAATGTCGCGTCGCGACGAGTCTCGTTTCTCGTGAAAATACCCCAGAAATAATATTTAAAGCTCGAAAACTGAATCTCGCGATATCTCGCATCCTCACCGTACGACAAACGATCAGAAATTGAACGGAGGCTCGCACGAAGAGAGACACAAGGAGCGGCGGGCGAGGATAACTCGCGGCGATGAGCGGGAAATAAATTTTTCGTCGGTAAAGTTCGCGCACCGACGACGTCGGTGAAGGCGATGCCGGCCGATACGTGTTCGCAAGCCGTGTGTGCATCCTCGCACCTGCCGTTACACTCGTTGCGCGGAATTCCCGGGCGAAAGAACAACATGACCCGCGAGCACAATAAATCGTCCATCGCTTTCAATGTCGCGACGCAAACGCTAGATTTACGTCCGCCTCTGCTTCTTCCTCTTCCTCCTGCGAGCACAAGAGAGGTCTCTACATTTTCTTTACTTATACTGTGATGAGAATCAGATAAACGCAATACAGAGGGAAAAAAGGATAAAGCACGATCTTAGACTCGCGAATAATACATTTTACGAGATGTGGTTTATTTCAGGCGACTATTGAACTTTGCCGATTGTTTTCCGTATACTTGTTACGAAGATTCAGTGATTGGCGATGCGATTATTAAAATTATAAGAAATATCGCATCAACGAAGTCCCGAAATCAAGATATATTCCCTGAACTTCCACGCACTGCGGCACGCAGAGTTAGTTCAGCCGGAGATACGTCGCGTCGCATTAAAATGTTTAACTGACGCGCTTTGCGCTAAAACGCGGAACGGTGTTCATCCGGAAGTGTCTTCCACGCTCTCGCACTGCGTGACGTCGTGTCAGTCAGTCCAGTGTATCAGTGGAAGAAGCCGCTTTGCAGCAGCTTCGGAGTTGTAAAATCCGGCCTCGCGAACCCCGAAGAAAATCACGCCTACACCTGCGTTACGTACGCTACCTTGTCTACTCGCACGCGCTCAGCTCACGACGCGACGCACACGAACACACGTGAGAGTAAGGAGAGGCGCACTGAGTTAGCGGAACACGAAAGTTGAAAGGGAGACGCTCGCTCGCGCGCGCGAGGGTGGAAGCGGCATGGTCGAATGATGCGAGCGTGGGAGGGGGGGTGCAAGGTGAAACGGGTCGACAAGGACGCGCGCGGTGGATATAGTACATGGTACATGTGAGCCGACGAAGAGAGGAGAAGAGACGGAAGGTCGAAGGGAACGAAGAGGGTAGGAACGGTGTAGAGAGAGAGCGAGAGAGACCACACGAGGGAGGAAGAGGGGAAGGGAGAGAGAGAGNAGAGAGAGAGAGAGAGAGAGAGAGAGAGAGAGAGAGAGAGAGAGAGAGAGAGAGACGGTAGTTGTGTGTCGAGGGCTTGCAATCCCTCTCTCTCCGACCCCTTTCTCGAGAAGGGGGCTGGCGAGGGGGCGGGGGTGGCGAAACTATGCGAAGAATGTGCAATTAGTGAACAGAGCATGAGGTGGAGCCGGGGGTGAGGGACGGTGCGGGGTAGTTGGGGATGGTACGGGTCCCGGAAAGGGAGCGAGTATACGGAGAAGGGGGCACAGGGGGTTGCCGACGGATCCTGGTATGGTGGTGCCATGCCGGCGGACGGTCTCTCTCTCTCTCTCTACCGACCTATCTATCTCTCTTACTCTCTCTCTCTCTCTCTCTCTCTCTCTATCTCGGTGTGTTGGTGGCGATGTTGAGGATGGTAGTGGTGGCTGTAGCGTCGAAGAAAATGGAAAGAAAGGAAGATGGATGGAATGGCGCCCAGGGATGATAAGAAGAAGAGCAGACTGGGTTGCGGGAGCGCCCTCGCTAGTAGTAGTAGTAGTAATAGTAGTAGTAGCAGCAGTAGGGGTTTGTCGAGGTCGTCAGGGTGGGGGTCACCGTGTCAAGATGTGAGAGGATCCTCCTTCTGGCGCAAGGACACTTATCGACTTCCCAGGCTCCCTCTCGTCCTCGCGTCCTCGCGTCGTCGAAAGTATACACGCCCATATAGCTTTTTGGGGATGCCTTTTGAGTCGCGGAGTCTCTCTCTCTCTTTCTCAGCTTTCTCGCCCTACGTGCTTCGCGCGCGATCAGATAGTTGACGACTTCCTTCGCTCCTCCCTCGCTCATGTCCGGGGAACTTGGTCATATCGCTTCTCCGGAGACGTTCTCGAGGTGACGAATCTTTGAAATCGCGATGATCTTGAAGCGACGTGCGAACGTGCCGTTGAGTGGAATCGAGCGACGTAATTTGCTAACAACGAATCGTGCACGTTTAAAGTGCTAAATTATTATGTGAAAATCTTTTCTCCTTATATCTATGAAAGAGCGTTAAGTACGAAAATCCTTTCGTTTACATCACCGTGTTCTGTGCAACGGCTCGTGTTGCAGTGCTGCAATTTTTTCGATATTTTTTTCAGAATGACCACAATGGTAAATTTTCCTCCCCACGGTCCTTTCTCACACCACGAAAGATGGAATCACGATTGCTTCAATTCATCCGGGAATACCGCGAGACTCACTATTATAGCTCTCCTTCCTCTCCCTCCCCCGCCGCCTGACCCTCTCTTTCTCTCATTGAGAGGAACAGAAAGAGCATTGAAATAATAGCGGCAGGATCTTGCCGGATATTCCCGTAAATATTCCCGATAAGAGAGAGTGCACAGCACGGCGGGGGCGGCGTGAACGGGGCTTAAGGAGCCCTTTTCGAGTGCTTATCCCTCGAGTCGACCGCGCGGTGTGTGTTCGGCAATCGCTAATTGACCAAACGAGCTTAAACGCACTCCGCCGGCTGAAGGACCGGCCATGAGGCGCACTGTTTGTGAACCATCGATTAGCGATGGTACTTCGCGGTAAAGTCCAGGATACCCCGAGGACCACTGTGAGCTCTCGGCCACTCAACATGTCAAAAGCGATCCCTCTCAACGACGTCAACCGAGCACCAAGGTCGTTCGAGCGAGTGCCTCCGTTATTGCGCTAGTAGCTGCACAATTTGCGGCTGCGGCGTAACGACGGGACCCGCGTAGAAATAGAACCGTCGAGACGAGGATGAGATGGGACTTGGCGGAGTGCTCGAGAAAACACCGATGTGCCGCTCCCCTTTGTCGCGGAGCAATTGTCCGGCGATCATAGCGAAATAGCGTTAAGATCGGCGATGAGAAAGGAGCGGAAGCGACAATGATCACTTCCGGTTGAAGCAGAAATCGACTCGATTTCGCATCAATCCTAGCTGAATGAAAAATTTACCGTCACACGCGTTGCAATTACCCGATTACGGCGGTCGACCAAGATTTACAGTTTCGATCGTCGACGTTCTCATAGATCGGAAGCTTAACGGCGTAAATGTAATTAATTACACGAAGGATGAGAGAGAGAGGGGGGGGGGTATTAATAAGCGAGGTAGCGCGCGCGCGTATTCGCCAAAATCGAGCGGTGGAACGTTTATTCCCGGCGCGCAATTCCTCTCCTCCTTTCTCAAGAAGGATGCACTCGAGTCTCGCGGCGCGCGCGCGCGGATGTAATTGCAGGCTGGGCTTCTCGCTCGCTCCCGTTCTCCCTTTCCGTCTCTCTTCCGCCTCTGTGTAATTTTACGAAAGGGCCCGGCGTGACCGCGGCTTTTTCCGCTACACAGCGGACTAAGTAGATACGGATCTAACGGCCGCGGGAGATTTATATCGAAGTACGGCGAACTCGGCGCTCAACGGCGATCGCTAAATCTAATGCGCGTTAATAAGCGCCGGCCGCACGCGCGTCTCCTGGCATCTCCTCTCGCTCATCGTTTTTCAGGACGGATGTTTACGACGTTAGCTTACGACGTCGGCCCGTGAAAATCTTCCACCTTTATCTCTACGCTGTGAAACACGCCGGGATCGTGAGTTATGCGCCGTCGGTAGTAATAAACGGAAACTTGTACGGGAATCCATCCATAGCGACCGGCCGCGCCAGAACAACAGATTTCGATTTAGATTAAACCATCGAGTCCGTTCGGACGCACGTTCTAATACTGGTGCGATTTAATAAACCGCCGGTGTAAAGACGGACGGAAAGTGTTGTGCGTGAAACGATTCGTGCAACCGTCGTGATAGAGAAAACGCGCGTTCTTCCATAGCCGAGCGATTCGCGATCCGATCGTCGCGACTTACGGTATTGTTAACACGACAATACCTCGCGAGAGAGAGAGAGAGAGAGAGAGAGAGAGAGGGTAAAAGGATACGGCTGAAGCTGCGCGTATAAACGGATCCTTTTCTCTCCTCGCGTCGCCTCGTGTCTCGCTAACGAGCCTGTAATGGGACATATTTCTTCCGCCTAAGTTTCTCCGCCGTCGTTTCCAATCAGCCGGTAATAACACCGGGGGCGCCTTAAAATAGTGTTACGTGTGTACAACAAACTGTATCTCACTCGGGAGGCGCCGTAGCTAGTTCGTACACTTCGCTATAAATGAACGAGCGACAGAGAAAGAGAGAGGGGAAGATACAGAATGGAGTCTCTCCTCGTGCTCGTTATTTCGAGTTCGCGATCATAATGGCCCTTCTTGTTAAATTGAGCATCAGCCAAGTGATTTACGTTGATTGCTCGTCGCGTCGCACATCCAACAGTGCCTCTCTTTCTCGCTCTCTTCGTCTATCTCTCCGCTGTCCTCTCTCTCTCTCTCTTTCTTTCACATTTCCTTCATGTTTCCCTCGCTCATTCGGCTCTCTAACCCTACTCGCCTTGTACATCCGATGTCGATCGCTGATCTCGATCTCATCTACATGCTCGAGCAGTGATCGATCTTCGCTCGAAGCGGAGAAGAGGCGCCCGAGGGCGCAGCCTCTTACGTTTCCCTTTTCCTACCCTCGTCATCGTCGTCCGATGCCTTTTTCCTTTGTTAAAAAAGAAGAGAAGAAGAGGGAAGGATCTTATATTCTTTTATAATAAATCGCTTCTAAGCTCGCGTGGATAAACGGATAAACGGTCGAAGAAAACGAGATCGTACTCGTAAGGACAAACGGGAGCTTAAAGAGTTATCTTACTGTTCAAACAGTTGTTATCGTCAAATCCATATCATTTACATCTCTCCTGATGCACGGCGTTATCGCACAAGACTATTGTGCTCATCCTCGTAACTCCTTCCTTTTCGCTCCTTTTAAATCGCCAAATTCCATCGAGATTTCTATTATCTGTAAGGAATATTAACAAATAAGATTATTAAAATGGAAATTTCGCTGCTGTGCTTCCATAATAATTATATCCATAATAATTGTATTACTTGTCTATAATAATTATTTTATATTTGTTTATCGCGCATACTTGATCTACAGTCGACTCCCGATCCGAGCTCGTCCAGGGTGTTGCGAGAGCGCATCTTCTGAAATGCAAGAACACCTGGCGAGCTCGATGGCGCAAAAGTGTCGTCGTGACGTCATGGCCCACGATGATTCGCAAGAATCGCCGACCGAGCGGGGTAGGAAAAGTCAAATGAACCGAGGCCTTCTTTGTAGTCGGCAGCGACGGTTCTATGGAGATGCCTAAGCCGGCATAACCGACCCCCTGCGAAGAATGTTCGGCCTTCAAAAACAGAGAAGGAACGCGGCCGGCGGTGGCGCGTGGTTCATAGCGGGCCATTTAACGGTCTTTGCGAAATTGAGTCATCACGCGGTTCCCCTGGAATCTCGAATATTTTCCTCCCGATGCTTCAGCTTCTCCGTACCACCCCCGTCGTGCCCCCCTCCCCCCTCTTTCCTTCCCTCTTCCCCGCACACCCCGGTTCCGCAGACTCGTCGCGTCTCCTCTCGCTCCTTCCTATCCGCTTCCTCGCGTTACCATCTGACGAAGGCGGCGGCACCCTCGCAGCCTCCCGCAGGATCTCGCGGCTTCCTGCGGAAGATGCAAGCGGCGGACGCGAGCGGATTTCCGAATTTCCGCGATGCGCGCCCGAAACGTCGACCGGATTCTTTCGCACGCGCTTGACCGTCAACGACGGAGAGATACGAGGTGCAAATTGCGCGCTTTCGATCAGCGAATCTTGACATTACCTGTCGTATTTTCCCCTTCGATTTCAGCTCGCAAAACGCCCATTTCTCGTTTACCCGTGACTTCCCCTAAAATCGAACGCGAATTCGCGCGCAATAGCTCGCGTTGTGATTCGCGTCTACGGGAGAAACTTGTCTTCACCTCTGACTTGCGACTCGCGAGACCGAAATTATTTCGCAAAAATTTCCACACCAAGGACAGCCGGCGCTCTCCCTGAGAGAACCAAGTTACGTAATCCACGCGGTCCCCATCGCCCGTATTTTTATAACACAGCCGCGTTGTAATCGTTAACAGTCGCGATTTACCGTCGAAAATATAAGCAAGAGGGCATTGATTGCGCGCTTACATAGCGAACACAATGGCTATANGGGGGGGGACAATATTCGCCGGCATCGCGCATGCAGTTTGCGCGAGCTGGAAAGGACGAAGACGAATGCCCGTAATTTACGGGCGCGATTTGCAATGCAAAAAAGAGCGAACGGAGATTCGGCGTTGAGTTTCATTTCGCCCCCGTGTTTGTCCTCGACCGTATTGCGTTCTCCCTCCCCTCCCGCCGTTCGGCGCTCGAGTAACGATGAATCATTTAGCGGGCCGTGTTCATCGGCGACTCTTAATCGAGTCTTTCCGCAGGAAGCAAGACGGTAATCTCTCTCTCTCTTCCTCTCTACCTCCCTCTCTACCCGACATCGGCTAAACTTTCCGCGAAACTTGGGGATTTATCGGGGAAATAATTTATTTGCCCCCGCGGCGCGTACCCCGGGACGATGGTGGTCGTCGTCGTGTCGCGTAATGTAACGTCGCGTCGTGCCGGGACACCCCACGATCTTCAACCCTTTCTGTTTACTCGCGAGAACAACTTTGATAGTCGATGATGCGAATTTCAAATTAATCCCGCGATGTCGCCTGCGCTTCAGCGAGAAAATAATAAATAGAGACCGAGGGCGGGGAGTGAGGAAGGGGGTGTTATTTGACTTTTGACGTTCTTCCAAGTTGAAATTACTTTGGTCGCTTTCCAGCAAGAGGAGACGCAAGTCGTCCGGTTAACATCATCATTTGCCCTTATTTTGCATTTGACAGGGAAAAGGATAATAGATGATACATCTGGACTTATATCGATGTCTCTTACTGGAGAGCAACTTCGATATTCCTGCGACAGGATTCTCGGACTTAATATTCTCACATAATTGAGAGCGAGAGAAAGCCGAATATCGCGTCCTCACTACCGATAACGTCTCGCGCGATTTCGGACCGAAGAGCTGTACCGTGGTGTCGCTGGAAAAATTTCAGGACCTCATCCGTATCTCCCGGACGGAGTCATCCCGGCTTTATCCCGCGGCGAGATCGAAGTGCTGACCGTGATTCTGCTTACCGTACGGTTAAGCGTTATTTCAATTACGAGCGCGTTTGATGTCGTCTGGCGCCGGTTTTACGGTCGACGGCGACCGTAAAACCTTAACGGCTGTGAAATCTAAGCGGCGATAAGATGACAGAGAGAGAGAGAGAGAGAGAGAGAGAGAGAGTCTCGTTTACACACAGAGTCCAATCGGTCGGAAATCAATTCATCGACGAAGAGAACTCCCTTCCCAGCTTCTCGACGACCACGACGACGACTCCTTTGTTTCGAATGCGGTTACGTTGCATTTATCATCGTATATTGACCGTTTCAGCGGAACGCTGCTGTGAACGCGTGCGGCCTGCTATAACGGCAACGCGCACAATGGCAATTCCGCGGCTGGAAATCCGGTTAGGGAAAAGTGGTTCGAAAAGAGGTCCGTCCCCTGCCCGTTCATTATTACGGGAAATTCCTCAGCGCGGAGACATTGCACTTCATGAGTGCAGCGCCGGGGCCTATTTGAATAATTTCATATTCGACATTTTCTCACGAGTACATACGGCACGAGAGACTAATGAAATTCGAGAGAGAGAGAAAGAGACCAGCGTGTCTCATAAATTCGGCATACGTAATCGGATTCGTTGCATTTTTCATCGGATTCCGCGCGAAATGAGCCGACGAATTATTCTCTCTTTTTCTCGCCCGCGTGTCTCCACACCGACGATAGTTTTCGAACACTGCGGTTCAACATCTGCATCTTTTATGACTCTCGATATACACGTGGCCAAAAAAAAAACACGTCCACGCGTCAACCCTCTCCCCCCCCTTCACCTTGCGCGGCCGGGAGCGGTACATTGTTACGTAAAAAAACGAAAAACGGAACGAGATGTGCAAATGGAATATTCGTGTTGTTAAAACCGGGACGGGGGTCGTTGGGGGTTTTCATGGAGCGCGCCGAATCGATTCTCCGTTCTTTTCAACGTTCCCGAAATCAGCCGTCTCTCGTTATCGGTCGGTTTACATTCGCGTGGGTTACGGGCGAATCGCGAGTGAAAGCATCCGACGAACTCTTTCCTCATCCAGTGCCGTTCGCCCCCTCGTCTCGACGGCCCTCGAATGTTTTTCTTTCACCCTTTCTATCGCTCCGTGCCATTCACGCTCGCGATCGCTCCGGCTCATTACGATTTATCGCGTTTCGTCATCCTCTCGAGGCCGCGACTCGTCGGCGGGTTATCCTTCTGATTCACCAGGTGCTGATTCACCAGGTGGAACGACGCTTTTCAGATACACCGTCGCTACGTGACGCCTCGTCACCCCTTTCCCGCGTGCTAATTAGAATTTATGACGGGCGCTTTATCAACCGCTAAATTTAACCGCGCGGATCACGCGCGAAATAGTTTTCGCGCGCGCTGACGGCGACGAGGTCGTCCTCGTGCTGCTTTTTTTCCCTCCTCCCCCTCCCGTTTTTTCCCCTTTTTTTCGCGCGCGATCCCGTTAATCGTCCGTCGTTCAGCGTCGTCCGTTCTCTGTGTGCGCCGGGGACTATCGGTGTTATCATCCGCCAACGGACGAATCCGCCGGTAATTGGCGATTTAAATATTTACTCGGTGAAATTAATCATAACCGCGGCGGATTGATCGGCGTTTTTATTCCGCGCTGACCGGAAAATCGTAATTTTACATTCGATCCCGGGCTGTTTATATACGAAGGTAGGGAGTAACAGCCAACGCGTAAAACGCTATTCTTTAGACGCTGCGAGCGAGCATTACCGGCACGCCATTAATCCCTAAATCTGTTTTAGTACAGGATGAAAACGCCGATTTGCGCTTAAATACACCGCGCGATGATCGGGGCACGGCTCCGACCATAAAGCGTATTTTATCCGCTTTTATCCGCGCCGCTGTGCGCGCGCGCGAAAGAGAGAGAGAAAGCGCGAACTCTCTCAAAGCCTATTTCGAGAGCGCGGCTGCTCTCGAGGGTTTGTTTGAATCCGCCTCTGCCGGTCTGCTTCTCGTCAATTCTAGAAGGAATTCCCGCATCCGAGACTGCGAGAATGCAATCTTCGTCACGGGGGCTTTTCATTTCCCCGGGACCGATCCTGACGCTTCTGCGGATCCGTGACTGTTTGTTTCCATTCCCGGCGCGGAAATCAGAATTTATCGTGGCGGTCCAGATTTTTCGCGAAACGGGACTGGGTAGAACTGGGCAGAAACGACGTGAGAGAGGGAGGGGGCGAGAAAGAGGGGTAAAGAGAGACGGCAGGAGCCGAGCGGAGCTTGAAGAGAGCCAGATAGCGTTTACGACGTTCTGCGATGACTCACTCGATACTACCGAGTTCTTGATCACCATTAATTATAAGCCGGCTGATTTCATTGAGCATCTCGAGGTTTTCTCTTTCACTTCGCGGGAGCCGCACTCAAAATAAAAAGAAAAAAGAAATATATTTATGTATATATACACACCCGACATCGGAGCTGTTACCTACGCCCTTGAGCGTCGCTCGATAAATCGCAATTAAAACGCCCCGGTTATCGTTGATTGTGCAAAAACTTAATTGACGATTGAATTATACTCTAATGGTGGAGCTTTCTACTGCGCTCGCGATGAGAGATGCGTTCGACTTCCCCCGTGTTTTTCTTTTCTTAGGAGAGCGAGGAGGAGGATACCATCGCGGCCGATCGCCGCGTGATCCGTCGTTTATCAACGACGGCGATTATACACGATCGTGCGTAACGATCGTCGCTGTCGATCGGAGAGGAGTTCCCCCCCTCCGATATATCTGTATGCATAAAATTCGTGTCGTGTTGCAGGTCGCAACGAGCTAATCGCCCGTTATATCAAATTGAGGACCGGTAAGACGAGAACGCGAAAGCAGGTGTCCTCGCACATACAGGTCCTCGCGAGAAGAAAACTCCGGGAAATACAGGCGAAACTCAAAGTGGTGAGTAACGAAACGTGTCTACACGGACTTCGACCGTGTGTCTTTGCCGATTTGCGTCCTCATTGTCTTTTTTTTCTTTTTTTTACAGCTGTCTAATATTACTTTCTTTTCTTCTTCTTTTTTCACACACACATATATATATATATTTTTTTTTTCCCCCCTCACGCTTGTCTCAACGCCACATCGAATCCGCTTAACGACGATCTCGCGCGAATGTCTCGATCGGTGTCTCGATCTCTTTCGCGAAGGGACAACGAAGAGGGGAAGGGGAGATATCTGGTCCTTTTTCGGAGACTCGTCGCGAATTTCGTAAATACCGTGAACACGATGATGATGTGTTGTGACTATCGTGATAACGAACGCCGCGCGCGCGACAGCGGCGGTTTAACGCGACATGCGTTGTTATGATAATGAAATACGAGACAAACACGGCCGATCATTTATTTAAACGATGCTACGGATATATTTGACGACACGTCGCGCCCCGATAGTGGCGTGTAGATAAATATGAGCTATTGCGCGCGTGCAAACGACCGTGTGCTCTGTCCCGTTCTGCAAACGTCGAATCGATATTTCGTGTCTCGCGGAAGAACCGCGATCGGACATTTTTATTTTTTCTCTTCCGCAATGCGCGGTCTCGATTTAACCGGAAGGATGTGCAACAACACTTTCGCATGTGCGAAAAAACACGTCTGCTTTTTTTACGCGTTTTTTCCACCTGCAACGAGATATCCGACGAGATTCAAGTACGCACGAAAGAGAAAGAGAGAGAGAGAGAGAGAGAGAGAGAGAATTTCTCGAATAAATGATTTCTATTCCTTTGTCGCTTCGACAATGATCATTTCGAGGGGAAAGGAGAAGAGGCGGCATGTGAAACGCGATGCGTTAGAATAATCGAGGTCCCGTTGTAATTCGTGTTTCGCAGGATCTCTCTTTCGCTCTCTCTCTCTCTCTCTCTCTCTCTCTCTCCCTCCCTCCCTCTGTTTCTCACTCACCCCCGTTCGGTTGCGCCCGGCGGTAATATTAAATCGCGATCGGCGCGCGAGCATTAGCGAGCGACGAGCGTTGCGGAATCATTTTCGACGAGAGGGAGAGACACGCGGTATCGAGGAGCATTGCCGCGGGATAAATCACGCGTAAAAATGAACCCGGGCCCGTTTAATCAACAGCTGAATTATTAAAGCGATTCGCGAACAATTGCGCGCCGGTTAATAAATCAAAGCGCGGTGCGGCGCAATCGGTGGTGGTGCCTCCATTTCGCCGTTGCCCGACGGGGTAGACAGAAGATACGGTGGAGAGAGAAATAGAGAGAAAGACAGAGAAATGGAGAAAGAGGGATAGAGAAGGAGAGGGAGAAAGAAAGAGAGAGGCGGGAGGGAGTATTGTTTATACAGGATCGGTCAATATTCGGGATAGAAAAGAGTGGAAAAACAAGCCGCGCGTGTAAATTAACCGTGCGATTGCATGCACTCCAGTTTTGGAAACTCTCGTTCGGTGGGGAAAAAAAGCTCCCGGTTTAATCGACGGCGATAAACCGAAATTTTTTTCCGGATATTCCACGCAATTTAGACGCGACTACGCGCGGGCGAGCGAGCGAGCGTACTCGCAAGAGAGAAAGAGGGGAGCCTGGATCGTTAAATACAATTTATCGATGGCGCGTTTATCCGACGAGTGTGTGCCGTGATCGTTAGATGTAATTTGTTAATTATCGTGTCGAGCGTGTTTTTGCGTTTCGTCGCGTTTCTTCACCGACTACCACACTACTACCGTTGCGCTATCGGCACGGTGTATAACGTGTGTTAACACGTTTCGCTTCTCACTCTCCTCGTAATTGTATTTTTATATCTCATTCATTCACGCACACACACACACATACACATATCTTCGCTCTCAAGACTGCCCCCGCAACGGAGTTCTGAGAAACGGCGCCGGCGTTCCCCCGGCGGTTTTAATTACGGCCACGACGCTCGTGTAATAAGATGTCGTCGCTTTTCTGTGTGCGTGCGCGCGGTGCCATTTATGAAATACTTGCGCGGCTTTCCGTTTTTAAGCACGGTCAGCCGCAGCTGCAACTGCAGTGGCCGCATACCGCGAACATTATTCAGGAGAGCAGCCGGCGCGTCCGCGGGGAGGAGAGGAGAGAATGGAAGGTGGTGGAGGAGGAGGTGGTCCACCGGGGTCCACCGTGACGTAATTTTCTGGTTTCCGCGCTTCCCCCAGACAGGGAAGAAGGGTGAAGCCCCGCCGCGCGCTCACCCGCTCGCTTTTGCTTGTTGCTCGGAGAGGGTCGCTTACCCCTGCGGCCGGGTCGTGCGATTTATTCGACCAGGAAGGGAAAGAATTTCGCGGCCGGCTCGTGTTTCGCGCGCAACCCTGGAGCCGCCGCCGCCTTATGCAAATCGTGCGGTCTATGTGTGCGGCGCACATGCGTGTGTTTTAACGAGGTCGGCTTTAAGCGAAACTGTTTATTTCGCTCTGAAATAACGCGCGTGAACCGACGGGACAGAATTATCGAATGCGCCTTCTTTCTTTGTAAAGTCTGACGAGAACATTGTTCGGGGGCGGACGCGCACACACACACGGGGCATCTCGCGGGGGCTGAAATGCACGACGTGAGAAAAATGTTGCGAATTGACTTCTATCCACCGGCGGAACGATCTTACTTTCGGCGCGGATTTCATCGCGCGCGCGAGGCGGCACGTCGTCGGTTATTTTCCCTCCCGCGTGCGTTAACAATGCGTATCGCGTATCGCGTTTTACGCGAATTCGACCTCGCACACTCGCGAATTCTACACGCTCGCGAATTTTACACGCCATGCCGCGCCCCTCAAACGAGATTACGCCGACTATCACGGTCTATCGAGATCGCCCGGCCGTTTTATCTATTTTGGAAATAATTGCACCGGGCATTACGGCGTAATTAATTGTTGCGGTGTAAACGTACTCCCGATAACGGGGCAACGGCAGGGGGGGAGGGGGGAGGATTCGGTCGGAGCGACGGGAGGGCGAGCTGCGGGAGGAGGAGGAGGAGGAGTGCCCAAAAACGGGCGAGCGGCGTTTCAGAATGTCGATAAACATGTCCAACCCGTTACCCGCCCAATCCTCTGCATTCCTGGCGTGTATTCGAGAGATGAAGGGTGAGAGAGGGAGAGAGAGAGAGTGAGAGAGAGGGGGGAGGGGGGCCAGAATGAGAGGGGAAGAGAGAGAGAACAGTGGCGTCGGGCGGAGGGTGGAAATTAAAAAAAGCGACACGGACTGCACCCTCTCAATTAACCGAATTGATTTTCCGCTGCAAATTCAGCGCGAGCTCCGCACAACGTGAACAACGTGGCCCGCGCAGCGAAATGGACTTTTCGCGGATAATCGATGTCATCCGGCATTCGCGAAAAAAAAAAGGAAAAAAAGAAACGAGAAGCACACGATACGCCCCGCGGCGAGATTCATGCGTGAATCGATCTTACGCAACGGGATTGCTATTCCATGGATTACCGTAACCGACTGTCACTGCTGGACTGTGAACGAGATGTTGCAGAAATCACCGGATGTTTCATCAATCCGCGACTTCTCGAGCCGATTTAACGTCGAATTTACGACTCCCGCTCTGTCTCTCTTTCCTTTTCTAACGACATTTCTTTCGCAAATCGCCGCGTCTCTCAATTTTAATTAACGAATGAACGGCTCGTCGACAAAATTACGAAGAAGTCGCGATAATGTTCGTTGTGTGTCCGCCACATGTTACCGCTACACGATAGCCCGCTAATTACGAAATACGTTTCACCGGGTTTCGCCCGTTAATCGTCGTCGTCGTCGTCATCATCGTGACAAGTTTGGCTATTGGTCGATGCGTGTTGGAAATAGCATCCTCGCGAAAGAGAAAGACACGACGTTCGTATATTCGATACGAAAACGTCACGTTTCGATATTCCATTGCCGGTCGATCGCTCGTGTAATAATAATACGCACGACGCTTGCACAATTATTCCATAATTAGTCTGGAGCGTTAATTGACGCGGCGTTAATGGCAGTAAGAACTCGTGCCAATTGAACTTCCGACTAAAGTTTATCGTCCGTGTCGCCCGTCTCTCTTCACCTCGAGTTTTTTCTACTTCTCGTCGACTCGTTCTCTGCTCGTTGCATGCTTGCTCGCACAACGTACTCACGTTGAACTTCGTGAAAGTCGAACTTCGCGAAAACCCGAGTCGAAATTTCGACGCTACTCCGACAGCTCTTAAGGATAGTTTGCGCCTTAGACGGCCTACAAACAGATAAAAAGCAACTTTGATTATACTGACACTCTTTAACTTTTCTCTCGAACCTTTAATTCTACAGATTGAACTTTTAGCTCCTATGTTGTAGAATTGAAGGTTTAACAAGGGGCTAAAATTATGACTCAGGTGTTATCTTTAGTTTAGAAGATACAATATTTCATAACACTTCGTATAGAGTGTCCCAAATTTCATCTTTCTCTACGGTATCTTAAACATCTTGATTGATGAATGATCAAAGATACAATCGTACAAATTAAGTCGGTTCTAAGTTAAATGAACTAATAAAAGGTGGAATTTGCGAAAGAATCTCTGAAAGATGAGTTCTCAGCATTACGCTATTTTTCAACGCCTCTTTCACGACTGAAAAAAGATAAAATGTTTCACTGATATACGTAAACACATAGACCGACAATTTCATTAAACAAAATTCGCCTCCGAATTGATCGAAAAATCCACGGGTAACAGGAACGACGACGGCGGCGGGTTCGAGAGTATTCGGCTTGTGTGTGTGTGTGTATTTCAACGGGAACACGCGATGGGCGTAAACAACGTCGGGGAGCAAAATGTAACCCGTGATTTTCGGTCGCGCACCGTCGCTAAATTCTTTATTGCTCGCATCGTTACGGGCGGCGCTTCATTCCGGCCGACGGCACTCGTAGTGACTCCTCCATTACGGATTTATGAACGAAATTGAAAATCCCCGCACACGAGGGGACGGGACGAGAGAGAGAGAGAGACGCGGGGGTGGCAGCGCGAGGGTAAGAGTCGAGAGGGTTGGATGTGACGGTGGCGACGGTGGTGGTAGCTATAGAGCGATTGCTGGTGACGCTGTGCGCCCCGGTAGTGGTGGTGTGGTGCTGCTGCTGCTGATGGTGGTGGTGGGCAATTTTCCGAACGTCACGGCAACGAACCACCTCTCGTTCGCCTCGTCAGCGATTTTCGGTCGGGCGCTGATTAAAACGACGGCTTTCCGATAAAAGCGCCGAATTCCCGCGAATTTCTGTTGCAACCGGACTCGGCGGCTGCCCGTTGTTTCTGCAATCAACTGCATTGCACAACCGAGGCGGCCCGCGATCGCCGATCGATTTCATCTCGCGTGCGACGCTCGCGCGCTCGATGGACAGGAACGCGGGAAAAAAAAATACCGGAGAAAAAAGGGGACGCTGGTAATCGCGCGTCCGGAACGGCAAATTGATTCGCATCATTGAGAATGTTACGAATTTATCCGCCGACTGTTGATTGATATCGCGAGTCCCGGATGTCGCGAATTCCCCCGATTTTTCGATCCGCCGCCGTCGCCGCCGCCGCCAGCGCGCGCATTGGTGGACGATGGAAAAATTCACGCCACGAGATTTCCCGAAAGCACCGAAACGGATAGGGGTGATCTCGGAGATGAAAAAATAAAACAAAGAATCTTCGCAGCGATTCGGTTGAGCGCTTTGATCAAGCCGAGTTATTAACACTTATTCCGCGTTTTGCGTGTGACAGAGACGACCGACCAATTCGAATAACCGTACAGCTCCGATGACACGTTCTTTCACTAATTTGGAGTCGATTTATCCTAAGTAATTATCATCCTGATGTCTCAAGATGCGGACAATCATTGTTGCGACGACAACGTCGACTCCAAGCCGCTCGTCGAAGAATCTGCCGTTAAAAAGGAATCGCGCCTGGTGATTTTTTCCGGGATATCCTTTCGGTTGTCGTTCCGACGGGTTCTCCTTCTGACGCTGTTGCGCTTACTCGTATTAAAGTCACGAAAGAGGATCAGAGCATCGATTTCCGAAAGAGCACGCTCTTCCCCTCTTAGAGGCACGATAATACATCTCTCTTAATTAATCGTCCCATTTTATCGCTAATATAAAACGTCCCTAACGTCCGGCGTTGCGTTGGTAATCGGTCTAAAAATTTGTCAGGATCATGCCACCAAGGAGAAGACGCTCCAGACAATGTCGAACATGTCGAGCGCCCAGATAGTATCAGCTGGAAGTTCGATACACAACAAGATGACCCCCACCCTCGTGGGGCACCTTGCCCTTCATGCTTCCACCCCTGTCTCCTATCCCGGAGCGGTAAGTCCTGATCACGGTGAGATAAAGAGAAGACCCCTCTCGAAGGGGTGGAAGGAAAAAGAGAGAGAAAGAGGAGATAGAGAAAGAGAAATACACTCTTTGTCGGTCTTTCTCTTTCAAAGGAGCCACGAGCTTTGGGGTGGTGATACGACGACGAGACGCCGTGTGATCGCGAATTCGTTTAATTCACCGTAACGGCAGAGTTTCGCATGACAAATCGAGCCTCTCTCGGGCGAAACACGAAAGCGAAGCGAGTTCTCGATCCCTCCCTCGAGCTTTACGCGATAATTATTGCGCGTCGCGTTTCTTTTCTCGTGTCGACCTTTTAATTGGATTCTCGTCGAACGGTCATTGTTCGTTTGTTTGTTTCGTCGCGAATGCGAGTGACAACGACGAGCTTTGCTTTTCAACGGAGATTCGTGTCGGGGAAATTTTTTAAAACGATTTCGAAATATTCGTACGTTTTAACCTGCATGGCGAGTCCTTTGTACGAACGAATAAATTGAAACTCCCAACGGTGAGAGAGAGAGAGAGAGAGAGAGAGAGAGAGAGAGACAAAGCGAACGAAATTAATGAGAAGAAGCGGGAATAGCTTGCTCTTTGTGACTTCGACGCGAGCGAACGCGTTTGAAAAATAAAGATAGAGAAGAAAATACGGCAACGTAACAACGATAGATTCACGATAACGTCCGCGTGTGAAAATTCACGTCTGGAGTGGTCGTCTAAGAGATCGAAAGCCTCGCACGGAGAAAACCGTCACGAAAAAGCGTCTCGTCGTCTTCGAGGGGACGAGCTTTACTTTTTATCATCGGTATTGCCGGTTTGGCCTCTTCTTTTTGAAGTTCGTGACTGTTCCTAACCGCTTCGCCCGATAACCGCTAATAATCCGCCTGTGGAAGGCAATCACTGCCGTGTGGTTTGTCAACTGACCTGCAAGTTTTGTGCCTCGTGAGAGGGTTGAGTGCGATCGAAACGTCACACCGGTAAGAGCGTTCGAAGCGTGTCAACTCGCCGACTCGTGTTTAGAAACAACGTACATTCGTGAAAGTTCGATCTTGAGAGAAAATAAAGTTCAACCTTAGCCTCTCGGTGTGTACGCAAAATGCACGATAATTTCTAGAAAATTTATATGCAAGCTTCGTTGGGTAAAAATCGGAAAATCACGTTCACGTTTAAATAGTTCTCGGTGTCTCGCACGACGCTCGAGAATACTTTCGTATTTTTAGATCACGCGCAGTTCAACCGTAATTACTCTTGTCCCGAATAAAGATCAGCCAGGAGAGAAGTTGAGAGAAGTTGAGTGAAGGATGGTATTAATCGATCGCAGGCGGTGAATAGCTTATCTCGTGTCTTCTTTCTTTCGTCTTTTTTTGTGTCTTTCAATTATACGCTCCTTTTCGCTTCTTCTTCCTCGCGCTCTTCGTGTCCGATTGAAAGAAAAGGTTGATAAGGAAAAGAAACAGCGGACGTACGAGAAGAAGAGGAAAAAGGAAAACGAAAAGAGAGAAAGAGAACACAGGAGCGACGAGAACGGCTGAAGCGGAGATGTTTCCGCAAAATACCTTCGATACCGCGAATTTTCTATTCTTCATGGCGAAGGCTTGTGCGTCAAAGACTAACCACCCCTCGCAAAAGCGACGTTCTCCCGCTCTCTGCTGCTACGCCCCTGGGGGCCCTTGTTGTGTATTGTTGAATTTGTCCGTTGCTCTATCATGTACATAATATGTATCGGTTGGGCACGAACGTACATCCACACGAGCACGCGTGCACACACACACACATACACACACATTCGTCACGTATGCACATGTAACGGACACACACACGGGGTGCATATTCATAAAACAAGGGACGTATCTGTATAACGAGAAACGTCGTTGTGGCTTACCAAACTATCTCTCCTTCTTTCTCTTTGCTATAAAGATAAAGCTGCTGGTCTTTTTATTGTTCATGCTATATTGCTATTGTTGCCGTCGTTATTATTGTTGTTGCTGCTGCTGTTGTTGTTGTTGTCGTCCTTTATTACTCGCGTTTATTTGTTTTATCGTTTCTTGTCACTCTTTCTGTGTCTTCATATTCTTTCCATGTTTTGCATCGATCTGATCTCGCCCGGGGGCTCGATGGCTCACGGAAAGAGACTTTCCTCCTCGCGACAATAAGGCTATCTCCTTGAGATAGTTTTGTGTGATTTCTTTTCTGATTTTATTTTATTTTATTATTTTTTTTTTTGTTTATATAACATCGCGACGATTTACGGCAAAATGCGATCAGTCTTTCGAAGAAGACCTCGAAGACGCGGGCTTGTTGAAAATCCGACTGTCTCTCGGGAGAAACGCGGCTTCGCGTGATTTTCGTGGACGGGCGATGTATCGATTGCCAATTCGCGCTTCTTTGTGTCGTAACAGTGTTAATGTGATTATACGATACAACGGCGGCGCAGCGCGTTTCTGTTCGCGTTTTCGGTGCGTTCGACAATGAAGCTACGCGTCGATTGTTTAATCGCCAGTCGAATGTTACAACGATGATACGTATTATTCTTGTTATTATTTGTTTGATTAACAATCGGGGGATTAACGATCGGGTGAGGCACGTACCTGACCACCGGCAGTCCGTTGAGTGCTCCGCTTCAAATCGCGCGACGTTTTTAACTCCGAATCGGGACTCTTGCGCATTTTCAGCAATTCTGGCAGCCAGGACTGCAGCCGGGAACGTCTCAGGATGTCAAGCCGTTCCCTCAGCCCGCCTACACCGGGAAACCGGCGACGGCGGTCTCGAGCGGCGACATGGTCCAGCCGGCGCCGCCGCCGCCGTGGGAAGGACGCGCCATCGCCTCCCACAAGCTCAGGCTCGTCGAGTTCACGGCCTACATGGAGCAGCACAGAAATCAGGAGATGGTGAGTAGAACTCTGCGGAGACAGGAAGCGGGAATGCAGAGGAGTTGAGAGGCTGCGAAAAATCGCGTACTGCCTCGCGACTTCTCTTTCGTAGACAGCTGAAAGCCAAATATATGAAAAATAGAATAAATGACGAGCGAACCGGGAAATGTGTTATTCGTACGTAAACCGTTCTCCTCTCTTTCGTTTTCAGTACCACAGGCACCTGTTCGTCCAAATAGGAGGTCCCGCAGTCTACGGAGACCCTCTCGAAGCGGTTGACATTAGGCAGATATACGACAAATTCCCGGAGAAAAAAGGCGGCCTGAAGGAATTGTACGACAAGGGACCTCAGGCGGCCTTCTTCCTCGTTAAGTTTTGGGCTGATCTCAATACCAACATCCAAGACGAAGCTGCTGCATTCTACGGTGTCACGAGCCAGTAAGTCTGTCTGTTTTTGCCTCATACTGATCTCTTCTTCGCGACACGTGAAGCGTGTTATTCTACCGTCATGTTGTCGTGATTAGGTACGAGAGCAACGAGCACATAAAGATGATAACGTGTTCGACGAAAGTGTGCTCCTTCGGCAAGCAGGTGGTGGAGAAGGTGGAGACGGAGTACGCCAGGTTTGAGAACGGCAGGTTCGTCTACCGCATCAGAGAATCGCCCATGTGCGAGTACATGATCAATTTCATTCACAAACTGAAGCACCTGCCGGAAAAGTACATGATGAACAGCGTTCTCGAGAACTTCACTATCCTCCAGGTACGGTCGTACGGACGATCTTTCAAACGGGGACGTCGTTCTCCGAGATTTCGCTCGAAATCAAATCAGAACGAGACGTTCACGGGAAAATCAATCGAAGTGCCGGTGGCGATGCGACGATACGCGCGGTAAAAGACGAACAACCGATATTTCTGTCCTGAGCGCCTCTTTTTTCCGTTTCAGGTTGTCACGGATAAGGATACGCATGAGACATTACTGTGCACGGCATATGTGTTCGAGGTGTCGACGTCCGAACACGGTGCTCAGCATCACATATACAGATTGGTCAAAGACTAGCCTGCTTGAACTTGCTCGCCATGCAGCCATCCACCCCCATCAGTGCCTACCATCACATAAAGATCATCCATACGCGTATACACGAACACGTATACAGAACACACGCAAAAGCGAAACACCCACATATACAGCCACACGCAACCACACACACACACACACACATACACGCGCGAAACGCGACACGACGCATCGATACGTGGGTGTTAAAATACATACACACTCACGGGAAGATATTCTCGCGTCCAGGCGAGTTTCTACGGAAGATATTCGGTCGATGACGAAAGAGATGATAAAGATAACTAGGATAATATAATAAATAGGAGAATTGTCCATATTGTAAAACCCTTCACGCGATCCAGCGAATGATTTACTTGTGAGTTTTAGGAAGAATGTCCGATACACTGTACAGTAAAGACGTCCCCTCCCTCCCCCCGAAGTCTCTACATTTTTATCTTTCGAGAATTCTCGCGCGTTTCCGCAATATCGCGGAAGATATATCCTGAGACACGCGAATGTTTTCCGTGGAACGCCTGGGGAAAAAACTCGAAAACACATGCGTACACCGTACGTGCACGTACGACAGAGTACTGGCCAGCCCGAGCTTGAGTTTGATTCGAAGTTTATATACTTTTTAATAACTTATTGGTCTAAGAGTTTGGACGCGTGTTGCAGGATGGCATCTTTGTGCGTGCAACGTGCGCGATGTCTTCGAGCTCTCATGGTCAATAGTTGATTCGAAACTTCTTTTTCATTTAAAACAAAGTTTCACTGACGGCTAAGATATGAGCCTGAGATATGTCGCGTACGCATGCGCGCACAGAATTGTAAATTTTATAATACAAATAGATATAAACGTATAGATATTTTATGACCGTGGATCATTATCCATCTTAATCGGCGAGTCCGATTTGTCTCGGGATTTTAAATGTAATAAAGGGAATAAAATAAATTAAGTTAAAATCGACAATAAATTTTGGTGTGAAAATGCTTATTAATGAGAAGAATAAGCATGTACCAGAAGTAAAGAGAAAAAGAAAAGAAAGCAAGAAGAACAAAACGCAGAAACAGACTCTGACCTCGGAAAGGCATGGTACCAACATGATCTAGTATTATAGTTTTATTATTAAATTAGGCGATAGAGAAACCCCCGACAAGACAACACCGATACACAAATATACATATATTACGTATATAAGAATATATATGTTAAATATTAATGCAATGATTACGATTTACATTGTTATAAATGGTCGTGTATAAAGTTATCTAAGTGATTTCTCTCTAAGTTTTAAAGGAAAAAAAAATGGAGGTTTAACCCGAGAGATATGCCATTACGAAGACGTTTTAAGTACCCTAAATTTACGATTGTTCGTATAATTTTTTTTACTAATTGGGTACCGAAAGTACCTAAGAGAGGAACGAAAAACACACCATACACACATGCGCACTACACATACGTTTCTTTTTGAAGCTTCGTCGCAGAAATGCTTCTCGTATCTATATTGTATCTAGATTGTGCAAGAATTTTTATCACATTGTAAGAACATTCTCGCTGCGGCGTTCTTCATCGTTGCGACCTGGAAGAACGCGAATGACGATCACTTTTATACGTTTTTAAAAATCTTTTAAAGCGCACCTACTAATGTGCAAACCCACCCACTCTTAGGCAGCGACACTTAGGTTTAGAGGGATGTGTTTGTATTTCTTATAATCGCCTTACTATTCTAAGATCATTTTCTATAGTTCTTAAACACAAATGATTTTTTTTTCGTACGTAGCGTACTTTGTTTGTTTTTATCTTTCTATCACACTTACAAAGCGATGTATCGGATCACGTGAATTTACGGATAGAAACATAGGCCACCGTTATACACACACAGACATACACTTAAGCGAGATAACTGTGTGATAGAGACTTACGATTAAAATTTTCTCAAAAATCCGGCATTTTTCACGGAGAAAGTATATAGAAATCTGTCTCGTTTAAACGTAACGCGAATTATATATGGCGGCACCTCGTAATGTCTCTTTCGTATACACACACAGCTCATATTCTCAACTTACAGATACGTCATTTACGATCGTCTGATTTCAGTACCGCTCTCCATAAGTTGCAAGTATTTTTCAGAACGTCAATAACGGGATAATGCCTCGTATTGCAAAAACATTTCGTACTTAATAATATATTTTACGCACTTGACATATACATGTACCTAACACACACACACACACACACACACACACACACACACACATGGACCATGGAACTTACATACAGAGATTTTTCATAAACTCAGTGGCAATCGTTTAAACAAGTAGAGGACCACACCCAGCAGTTTTGATCTTATTTAATCGCATCTCTCATATAGATTATTACGCGTAAATGCACAGCAACACTTTTTACTTATTCTTTTATCCGATCTGTTGTGTGTTCCCGAAACAGGACTTGCCTATCGAGCGGTGAATGTTAACATAAGCAAGAAGAGATGATTATGTGTATATTTTAAGAAGATTATATATATATATATATATATGTATATATATGTATATGTACATATATATATATATATATTTATATATATTACTTATTGTATTCTTACTTTAACTTTTACGGAACAAGTGGCAATGTATTTTGATCTCTCTTTTAGTCAGAAATATGTCGCTTTTTATTTGGAGTGAGAAATGAATTTACTATTATAGTTGACCGGAAGTATAGAGAGGAATTTATATTTAATCTCGATACACACTACACGTGGATGTGTTTTTTTCTTTTTTTCCGTTTGAACACTGGCAGCTTTCAATACCTTTTTACTTATTATTTTTATTATTATTATTATTATTATTATTGTTACCGTTTTTCTTTCGTTTCTTCTTTTGTTTCTCGTGCATATACGATGAACCGAATCGTTATCGATTTATCGCGTCGATGTAAAATTCGCAAGAAATCGAGCGTGCATATCAAGCGAGAATCGTAACCACGGCCATGCTATATATACGAATAAGTTGATTGTGATGATTTTGCTCGTTAGTGCCCGCCGCCGAAAATAAAAAGTTTTCTTCTATTTTTTACAACGAACAAATCAGCGTTACGTGGTTACACATCGGATCGTGCGGTAATCTCCGTTCTAATTGGAACGCGATTCAAAATTCGAAGGAAATTCCGACTATCTCTTCTACAGATTCGTTCTTATTTTTAAAACAAGTACAAGAATCTTTATCTCACTGGGTAGGCTTGATCATCATCATTCTTCAACACGCGTTTCGAATAGAACAGAGTTTGCCATTTGGCGCGTTTTGAGAAACGCGAAAACTGTTTTTGAAAACCGAACCAGCGCAATACCTTCGGAAGATACTCAAAGGTTATTCAGTTTGACCGTGTAGGCTCTTATTTTGTACGAACATCCGATGGAAAATGAACGGAGTATGAAATCGAAAAAAAAAGAAAAAAGGAGTACCGATACTAATATTATTAACATTAACGAGTAATGATTTTAAAATAAGCGAATTACATTTGTAAGGAAAGATTATGAAAATATATATTTATCTATGTCTTCTGTGAAGATAGAAAATAGTACTCTCTCACTCTATATTGATGATGATAATGATGATGATGAAGATGATGATAATGATATCGGAACGAGACCCGACAAAAAAATGAAAAGATACAAAACGCTGAAGTAGATCTAAGGGGGGGAAAAAAGAAAATAAGAGGAAAGATACGACTCTGCACTCTGTACACAATATTACATGATACGATCGATCGAGATTGACTCGGATTTGTTAAATATCTTTGTACATATTTACACGAAGACCATGAGAAATTGTTCAAGTTCCAGCAGCTAAATGTTTTCGTATTGTAAGAAATATTCCTCCCCGCGAGAAGAGGGGAAAGCTCTGTTTCGCTTTGCAGCTTGTTCGAACAAATCCGGCCCCCATGTTCGTCGATATCGCGATAAGCGCAAGACAAAAAAGAAAAAAGAAGGGAAAATAAATCCGTGACGAATATTTTCATAGAGATCGTACTCTGTCGATTTTTCTCTCGCGATACGCGATCCCTCGATATCGGAGATTTTCGCTGTGTCTTAAGTCTTCATTTTTATTAGCCATAATCAGGCTTTTCTCGTTTGTCGCAGTGCTACTAAATGACTGTATGTAATAAATGTAATAAAGCGACGGAGAAGCGCGAGACGCTCTTAATTACGTTCTTCAGCGTGTACTCGTCTTGTTAAGTTCGCTCTCATCTCTATGAAAGTATTAACTGCAAATAAGCGCGCGCAATTGGCTCGTTAAAAATTAATCCGGCAAAAAGTCCCGCGAAAAAAAAATACTCGCGTTTCTCCCTGAAAATTCTATTTATTCATATCCTGGAACTGCCATATCAAAGAGAATTGAGCTTGATTGTAAAGATGACTAAAAGAAAATAAAAAAAAAATAACTATTGATTGGATGAGAAGAGGAAAAGGAAAACACAAGAGAATCTACCTGTATATTATCATAAATGAAACGAAATGAGGATCAAAGTAGTTGTTTTAACGAGTAAATGAGAATAAATAAAATGATATATCATTAAAATTAGAGGTTTAAAAATATAATAGAACTCAGTATATATGTACAGTATTTGAAAAACATGTTTATAATTTGTATGGAAAAAATAAATGATTGATATAAAACGGGAGTATACTTTTATTATCTCTCCGTCGTACGACGTTGTTCCTATTTATGTTCGTGTTACGTAATATTTTTTTTTTTAAGTTGAATATCCTTCGGTATATTAATAATTATTTGCAATGCAAATACAACTATCAACTATTTGCTGTTGGATCGTGCTATTGAAGAACAAGAAGAGTTTGTAAGTTGCGTTGTTTAAAAGTAAAAACCACTCGGCTTGCTTTGATGCATTACTACAATAAAATAGAAAGGTCTTTTGTCTTACCCTTCAATCGTACGTGAAGATAAGAAAACTGTTCGTTACGCTGTTGAGTCGTACTTGAAGACAAAATGGTTGTCTAACCCGCCGTTACGTCCTATTATTTAAAAAAGTAAAGTTTGACTATCTTACCGCTTGATTCGTGCTGCGATCTCAATTCTTCTTTAAGGACTGTGGCGGTTCATAGCGGGGATTTCGTAAACTAATAACAGTAACGGGTCAAAGCATGCAGCGAGATACTTGTAACAGTTTGACCCGTTATTTTTATTAGTTCCAAAATACCCGCTACGAGCCGCCACTGTCTAGGGAGAATCGAGGTAGTAGTACGAGTCAACAACAAATCTGACCGACTCCGTTTTTTTAATTAGTACGATAATAATGTCAGTTAGACTTGGTCGCGTCAATATTATTTAGGTTTTAAACGAGACTTAAACATGTGCCTCTCATTATCCTTCTTTCTAAATAAATAAAAACAAACACATATATATGTCTTGTTTAAAGCCAAAATAACGTTGGTGCGACCTGGTCTTAAACGAATATATTGTTATATAATACAAAGGCTGCGTTCGGTGGACACTTTCAGCGATATTGCGTCATTCGGTCCTTGTTTTACGTCTGATGAACGATAATGACAAAATAACGCAATGCTGATGCTCTCTAGAAATACGTCTAGTATTTTGATGTTCTTCGTTTTAATAACATTCATTATTTTTTTGTTCGGACATCGTTCCCTCTTTTTGATGTATCGTTCGTCCCTAATCTCGAACATATGTCCATATAATTCTCTAATCTGTGTTCTTGACAGATAACTATCTGACGGATGACGCGCGTAACCACATAAAAAGTATATCGTAGTAGTGGTGTATCGTAGTCGTCGTGTACTAAATAACATAATGACCGGCGGAGTGATAAACGGCAGTTTTTCACGGACGTTCTGCGAACTTGTTAAACTCCAATCAACGATACATATACTGTATCGCACCCAGGCATAGTCGCGCATCGACTTCAGTAGTCAGCACGCATGTCACTTCGATCTGCTCCTCGAGTGTCATTCGTCGGTTGAATGAACATTCTGCTAGGCACTCCAAGGTGAGTAAAGATATCCGTCGTGATATATTAATTTATACACACACGCTTCCGCAATTATCTCCATGCTACGAAATGACCCAGTCATCTTTGCACGTTTAATACAATTCTACAATTAGAGAGATGTACGAAAAAAAAATTAATGCCGTCAACATCATGTGACTTTTAAGGATCAGGTATCGATGCAGGTGGGCACAGTGACATGATTTAATGCTTCATTCAGACATGGTAAATAATTTTTAAAAAATTTCCATTTGCTACTTTTATCTCTGAAGAAGCTGCCTGAGATTGAATTCAGGTTAGACGTCAAAGTAACATTGTTAAAAACGATAATTTCCTACGATTAGAAGTCCGATTAGCAATCCTCAACGTTCTACTTTGTCGTTGGGAAATCCTTATCACGCGAGTCAATGATGGGCACATTCTTTTATTTATCGTACAGTACCGAGAAGAGTCAAAAATGAGAGGGCGGTAGTCATTTGGTGGTCCAGTGCCGCGACCTTGAACCACACACGTGCCAGTATAGTCAAGATCGATATGATCGCGACTATCTTAAGGATGATTGTAAAATTTCGTACTTGTGAATTTTTGTGTCTGGCAACATAGCAATAATTTGTGTATCCTGTACTTCCGCTGGTGTACGTACACGACTCGCGGCAAAACAAACCCGATCCAAGTAGCAGTAATGATGATTAATGTTGAAACCATTTATGATGTAACAGCAAGGTTGTGTGTCGCTCCGAGAATAATTCGCGTCATTATAAATCTGTTATAGATCGTGTGTGTGCAAAATAAAGTGCAATTATTTCGTGTATCATTCTAATTTGATAACAACAAAATTCGATAATAATAAAATTAAAATAATGTGACATAAATAGGAAATGCCTCAAACTGAACGTTTCCGGGAATAATTTATCTGGACGTTCCTAATCCCATCGGTAACTTTTACCGTAATGCAACTGACCTTTTCCACAGATTGGCAGAAATTAATTGACGCAATTTTCTTGCTCTCTAAAAATGGCCAATGTCGATGACGTACCTATCGATCAGACCTTAACTGATAGATTAATAGACAAAGGACGTAAGTCACCATTCCTCGTGGCAGGTATGTATGCAAATTTATGAATGAGTTTAAATTTATCATTTATTATTGCTACATATCTTATGTATACATTGCTTGTCCGAACAGGTTTAGTAAGCTTTGCAGGTATTTGCGCCTATGGTGCTTATAACTTTAAGAGGAAACAGACGAGCACACAGTTGTATTTGATACAATTACGTGTTGCTGCGCAAGGAACAGCAATAGCCTGCTTAACATTTGGCATGGTTTATCATATGATAAAGAAGCACGTGCTACATGATGAAAATGAACCTTAATGTTGAGTACAGTTCTCACGACTGTAGTTCAATTGTTCTTTAAATCAAAGCAAACGCAAAACAAAGTCTAGTTTCATGAGAAGAAATTGTCATATATGGAAGACGTATAACATGTGTAATTTAAGTTATTACAAGCTACAGTTTCGTTGACCCCAATGTAGTGATGTCTGTAATTTTATTTGAAGTTTACCTCAACCTTAGTAATTGATAAGAACAAAGTAAATAGTAATGAAGTATATTGTTCGGCGCTTATTAGATACGAGTCTGCTGTCTATTGTGTTACTAAAGATGAATTTTCATACTGAGTAGAATTTTCGCGTAAAAGTGTAGAAATTGTTAACAATTATTTATTTGGAGATTCACCTTTAGTTTGATAAATGATGATTCTTTTCTGAGCAGTATTATATTTAATTTATCAATATACAATCAGAATTATACGGTCTTGTGTGCATTTTTAAAATAAAGCATTATTTTCTTATGCAACGCATCTGTCACTATTTTTTCTCTATCTTCCTTTTATTATATAAAATGCTTGTCGCATTTGCAGACTTGAATTTAAAGTAATACAAGTGACTATCTCGTTGCAATTACGTTCGTGTATCACGTCTATATTTTAAATAATTCAAATAAGAAAATTATGAATGCAAATCAGATGCTCCAGCGACTTAGCCGCGGGAAGGTCACAAAATTCTCGAGTGCCGTTTCGAGTTTAGCTGACACCCCATGCTGACGTGCGTCGCGCTTTTGCGCACCCTCTGCGCATCACCGCACGACAACAAGTCAATTTCTCATGAACCATAGGCACCTCGTTTTTAAATCCAATTTGGATTTTATAAAAAAAACAATACACGAGAGTTGCACGTGTAATATGACAGAGAGAAAATGTCAAGAACGATCATTCATTCTTGACATATCGTGCAATATTTTTTCCAGCAGAATACACGTTCATGTAAATCGGGCTTAAATGGGATTTAATCGCTCCCAGGAGCGATCCGAGACACCGGCTCAGTGGAACGCCGTCGTAAGTCTCGTATCGGTCTCGTCCGATCTCGCTGCTTCGCCGCACGAACGTGACATCGCGCAGCGACGTCAGATAAATGACGGTGTGTGATAGCGAAAGCGTGGGAGATCAGTGATACGTAATATCTCACGCCGCAATTATCCAAAACACGAAGCGCGGAAAAATGGCGGAGCAAGGTGACAGAAGTCAATTACCACCTGGTTGGGAATGCAGATATGACATTCGCAGCGGTCGTCCGTACGTAAGAAAATGCGACATGGAATTTCGTCCCCCCCCCTCTCTCTCTCTCTCTTTCGTTATTACGCCACCTTCGAAATCCCCGAGAACAGAATCTTCCTGTATCGATAAAAGATCGATATCGCGCGAAATTAATCACGCCGTTACCGATCTCGATGCATTCGAAGTCCGCTCGGAGGAAGATAAATGAACAAATCGTCAACGTATGTGTCACAAAGGGAACATTGACGATGATAATATTTTGTTCGTCTCGATTAACTTACGCGCGCGACCCATAGATGTTCTCTCTCTCTCTAATGAGTGCATTAGTTTTAAAAATACTTATTATTGAAAATCGATTCGCCACGATGCTCCACGACGCGAAAGATTAAACGTGCCTTAATCAACGACTTTTCAGATATTTCATAAATCATTTCAATCGCACTACAACATGGGAAGATCCCAGAGTGAGGTACTGGCAGTATTCGCAGTACATACAGTCTCAGAACTCGGTGGCCCTGAGTTCGGCCACTACCACTACCTCCCAAGATATTCCTATGCAGGTCAGTTAACAATTAGTTTAAGTCGCATATATATTTATATACATGTGCGTAGCAAGGTCTTGCATAACGCGGTCAATAAGTTCATTAAGAGCTTGGGATATATATATATTATTTGTATATAAAGATAAAGCATATGCTATATTTATTCTGTGCGATCGAAGCTACGTAATTGAAGAATATCTTTGAACAAAAATAATAGTTTTCATTCAAGCAATTCAACTAAACAGATGCGTACGTTAGACATATGTAAACTTTGTGCCTGAGGAAAAAGCAGTTGGATCTACAAAGTCAGTAATCACCCTCAAGGAAGTGTCATATGCATTGAACAAATTATACATTGGCGCAATGATATGTTGAATTAATACAGTTGCTGACCAAATCACGACCGTTGAATGAAATGACAACTTATCACAGGAATTGTATAATTCGTTGAAAACGTTGTGCTTAAAAAAATTGTGTTGGTTTCAGCAAAACTTCGTTGATTCAACTACATTTTTTTTCTCAGTGTATATATATATATATCTAACAGCTAATTGAATTGTCTCTAATTAGATATTGAAAAAGCAATGTCACAGTCCAATATTGCGGTGTCATTGTTCGAAAAATAATTATGCGAGATATCGTTGTACCCTTGACAAATATTCATGTGCTCTTTTCTACATGTGCAAAAAATATGTCCCATCTCGCACTTAAGTCACATCGCATATTACACTGTCAATGTATGTATTCTTGTGATGTGCACACGCTGCATTTGGATAACACACACAATATACCACAAATAAATAGACCGGAGGAAGCGGAGGTGGCGGGCACTTAAGTTATACAGGTGCTCATAGAGCCCCACAAATCTATCCAACACCGTCCCCTTATCATAATCCACAGCTAGCATTTTTACCTCCCAGCGGGCAGGTAAGTAGATAACGATATCTGAATCAGTCCTATGTTATCGAGGCATGAATACGCTTGCCAGTGAGTTAACTGTCGCTATCTTGTAAAATTTGTTCGTCCCTCGAACGATTGCGTAACCAAAATACGGTGTGTATGTGCAGGAGCTGAAAACTCCGTTATCACTGAAGTCCACCAGCGCGGTGACAACACGATTCGGTGATATTACTCTGGGATCACCGACTCCGGTGAGAAACACAGAGACAAGTTTTACTCAAAATTCGGACTCCGAGTCACAAGTAGCGAAAATCAATGCTGTGTTCCCGACTGTTTCCGACACACATATTCGTCTCTTACTGAAGAAGTAAGTAACTTATCGCGCAAGATAAGGCTTATCCATTTGGCAAGATCTTATCTGAAATTTGACTACTCACACTACCTAACATTTCCACACACAATGAATACGCGTACAACGATTAATATCAATATCGATATCGACACGGGATAATGAAATACTGTATTGTATACAAAAGATAGTTAATTTTTCAAGCCGCACATTGCTCGAATCTGTCCAAGTCCCCCGTCCACTATTTCTCTAAATTAGCACTATGTTAGATTCGGTGCTAAGTCGGCAGCCAATGTCTTTCAGATACCATAACAGAGCAGCTTTGGTCATGAGTGCTCTTCAAGTGGAAAAGAATCCTCTTTGTGCACCAGGACCGTGCACACCTGTGGGAGTGCATTCGCATTATGCAATCCCGAGATGGCGTCTACCAGCTCACGCTATACACGCAGCATTAACATTGAGTCCACCTCGTGGGGTCCGGCCAGCCCCTAACTCCCCAAAAATGAAACTTAGGTTTAACCCACATTTATAATTTCAGTCTCTCTCACCCAGTCTGGATGCTAGATGTTGATATCGTACCTTGTGATAGCTCCAAAGAGATATACCAGACGAGGAGCACTGCCTTCTTTTTTGTATTTCTGCAACTGTCTGGTATATTTCACATGTACACGACATTATCGATATTACAGTAGCAAGTGGCATGTATCAAAAATCCATGCATCTCCTTAAATTACTTTCAGGCATTAAGTACTCGAGATGCAATGAATTATCTAAATTGACCGATTATTTTCAAGATTGATCAATAATTTATATATCGTGCACGGTATAGCAGGTATCATATGATGTAGTTTGAAACGTAGATGAATCATCGTTAATATCTTGCTATTAATTTTATTACGCTTTCGTTGCTTTCAAGAAAAATATCTTTTATTTACCACATAAAGCAATAATATCCAATTTCGTGGTATCTATTATTTAAGTTTTTACTTTATCTTTCAGTTTCTTCCTGGTTTACCGTACATGTTGGATAGTATGAAATTTACACTATCTAGAATAGGTTAGTTTATCGATACCATTTTTATTTAACGTTTAGTGGCACAATGAGTAAAGCTTACATTGTTAATTAAATGTCATTGTTATGTTAGTTGTATCTTTACAAAAGGATCTCGAACGGAATAAAAGAGTTTTCATACGTTTTTATCTTCAATGTATAATAAACTGAAAGCTTGGATAATTGGTTTTGCTTGCTTAACATTAAATTTGATCGATTATTTATGATGGTGAGAAAACTTATTTATTCCAAAATGAGACGAAATCCAAGCATGACGGTATGTACATGTGTATTATATCAAAAAAAAATATTGATAAAGGCGCAAAATAGTCCAGCGTTCATTATGAAGAGGAAGACAGGTCTTTATTGCAAATTTATTTTCATATTAACTACATTATTGATCACATGTACATATCATAAGTATTGTTAATTATCGGTCCTTTATGTGTTTATTTGTCCATTACGTACACGAGTCCCGTTTAAAGTAAGATTTATGTTAAATTATTTTCATTATTTTAGTAACGAAATATAATTTGGATATATTATGTTGAATAGTACCACAAAATGCATAAAATACGCGATGCATCATATTATGTTTGTATGTCGCGCACGTAACGGTGATACGTTTGTATTAAACATTTATATGCTTGACATGTGTGCACAGGTACCTGAAAAACGTATTTCCGAAAGCGGATGAAACGATATTACTGGAAATACTAGAACAGAGCGATAACAACGTGCAGAAGGCGTCTGAGAAACTAATCGATCTAGGATATGAAAAACGGAATCCTACTCTTCCTGCCAAGGCTCTAGCGAAAAAGAAAGAGGAAGAACAGGTAATTGAATTAAACGGGTAATTTCGCATATGCAATATTATTTTGCGCGTAGAAAAGAAAGGAAAAAGAAACCTATTTTTATAGGCTCAAAACGAACAAACTGCACCTACACCTCCGCCGAGAATGAAAAGCACAGAAGAGAAAAATAAGAGTACGTATAGTCCGTGTTTCTGTTTTGTTCACCGATAAGTATACTACTGTATAATACACGATGGAAATGTTTCAGTGAAAGCGCGTTTGATGGAGAAATATAAGACGGTGCCAGATCGAGTGGTGATGCTTGCCATGGATAGCGTAGATTATGACGAGGAGAGAGCGATACATATATTAGATATAGTAGTAGCGGAGGAAGCTACTCGACCAATATGTACTTCTAGTAGCCAAAGGTAAAACTTCAACTTCTCGAAACGTACGCAAAAAGAATCGCGTGCGCTGTTATGCAGATTTTTTCTTTTTCTCTCATCATTTGTATCTAATGTTGCAGTAGCAGAAGCGACGAGCGAAAAGATAGTCCGCCAGTAACAGAAGCTATAAAATTAACAGCTTCGCCGATTAAGAAGATAAGTAAAGAGGGAGAGACTGAAAAGTCAAAACGGTCCAAAAATAAGACTGAGATACCGAAGTAAGATGCTTGTTTTGAGATATTTTTCAGTACTTCTTGATTGTTAAAATGTTGTTTAAAACGTCATTCTCATTCTTCATGGATTTTTACGTAAATATTCTCACACTCCAAGTTACGTTGATATTTCGTTAACAATGTTTTGTGTGTGCTGATAGAGTTTCACGTGGAACCAGTACTACGGAAGACAAAGAATACAAATCCCCTTATTTAACCAAACCAACCGGGACAAATTCAGATTTACCAAAAGGAGCAAATAATGATCTATTGTTGTACGTTTAAGAGAATAATCTATTATTGCATATTATCGATATACCATGTGAGATTTTCATGAATGTTTAACGCAACGGGAAATTTCAGGCCGGATTATGCGCCATGGTCGGGGCCAGATCCCAACTTACTGTCCAAGCAACCGTTCTTGAGATCGCTCGCGATAGGGCACGACGATAATTTGATCTCTACGAAACATTGTCTCGCTAAGGGCCCGCAATCCGAATTACGGAAAGGACCAATAAGGGGATTAGCTCAGGGTTCCATTTATTCGCAAAGGAACATAGCTAATACGGAGAGCCGCGGTAAATGAAACATGTGTAGCTGTTTCTTTCTTGACATTTTTGCGTTTGTTAAATAATAAGATATTTTATCTTAATTTAGAAGTGAATGTGTACAACTGTTGTGAAAAATTACCTCAGGATATTATTATAATTTTATGTTAAATATTGTTTCTTATATTGATTTGTTACGAGAATATTAATCTAATTAATTTTTATGTTATGCTTTATTCTAGTTTAATAAAAATTAATATTTTTGTTGATTATCAAGCCGTAATCGATAAGTTTTCCTATTTTATTTATAACTTATTGCATGAGCCATTTTGTTATAGAGAATAGCGTATAGGGGTGAGGAAGTGTTACTTCCGAGAAATTATTAATTTTAAATAAGATGTAAACGCATTAAATGACGTGACGTGTGCATCAATTTTGCCAAAATTTTTGAGATTGGTCACTCTAGGTGTAATGACACGTGTGAACATAAATAGAGATTTATATGTCGGGATATTAAAAGAGTGCAGTAATAAGACGTCTAAAAGCAGGCCATTCTTTTAGACGTTTAACATTTTAATCGCACCGATATTACATACATACAGTGATGGCACCGAGCCACAGTGTCGCGCACAAGGTGTCGTGTGTCCGTGAGAGTGCGCAACTCTGGCAGTCTTCGGCTGATTCGACGCTGTCTCTCCTTTTCCAACAGCTATTGTTAACTATTAGAGACTACGAGATTGAGAGACTAGAGAGACCAGAGAGATTACGAGACTGCGATCTCGCCGACGTGATAGCTGTAATAATAGTCGTGGTTAACAATAGTTGTTGGAAATGGGGAGACAGCGGATACATCGAATCAGCCGAAGACGCCCGGAGTTGCGCACTCTCACGGACACGCGACGCTGTGGCTCGGTGCCATCATTGACATCACTGCATACATACAGAATGTCAGAAAGATGTATAGAAAATTTTCAGATTTTTGGGAAATAATGCAGGATGATTGGAATAAAGTGTGGTGTAATATTTACCAGTGGCAAATACACTATTAGATCTTCCTCATATACACACGCAATTATGCTGTATATCTCGCAGATTTCTATTACTATTTCTGATACACTGTAATGACATAAAATACTGCATTAAATTACACAGTATTTCCACCTTTAACATATCTTATTGAGTCTAATGTGTCCATAAGAAATATGTCAAAGTTCACTTAGGACATATTTGAGTACTAACGAAAAACTTTAACAATTTTATTCTAATTGTATATGTGGTTAAATTGTCTAAATAGTGTGTAACGAGGTCTTTCTTAAACCTTTCCATAGATATGGATAAGTTTAATAAAGATTTTGACGTTCATAGTTCATCAATAATTAATAGGGCCATAGTTTCGTTTTCCCGAAAATGTTTCAAAGTACCAAGTACATCCATGGGCTATGCCTGACCATTAATAATGCTTCGAGACGATTTCGAGAATCATTAACTTACAAGTCCTAGTAATTGGTAATAATTTTACATATGCTAGTTAGTATAATGAAAGTACTCTACAGTATTAATATTTCTTTAAGTACGTATAATATATGTTGATTTTATCGAATAAGTAATCATTTACTGTTCCGAGGAATTTATCAGTATTAAAATACACAAAATTATTAATTAAGTTTAATCTTTCTTTCCTTTAATATTCTGTCAATTTTGTAAAATAAGACTTTATTATCTTTATTATCGTTAAAGACTTTATTATCGTTATTAGGGAAACGTCAACATTTAAGTAAAAGAAAAAAAAATGTTTTGTTGAATGATACTTTCATATATATTACGATAGCTTTAATAAATATTTCAATATTGATAAATTCCTGAAAAATACTACGAAATGGACTTCCTTTTTCGACTATATGGTAGTCATATTCAGAATGAAGATTTTATCTGAAATCTGAAGCCAATATAACACAGTATTAGAATATATTTTAATGAAATATAGGTATAAAAGAAATTCCAATAGATGGACGTATATTTAGAGATATGTTTTATAAGCTCGTATTGTAAAACAGGCAAAGTGAAGTATTATAGTAGAAAACTTGCATATCTCTAATGCAGCAAAATCTCCATTAGTATGCAGAATGGGCCGTAACCAAAATGAGGTTTCTAATAGTAAACTATAATATGAAAATTAATATTTATATATGCTATAGTCAAATTAATGTACAGAAATATTTTCATAGCTTGATTCAAGAATAATCCAGCCTTTTACAAATACTTAAGATACGATTAAAACGTTAATAACAGATGGGCTGTGGCTGAAATGTTAGTTGAGAGCTATTTTTATAGCTTTTTGACTCTTGAAGAAAATTACAAGGGATAAAGTAATATATTTTGACTATATTTTGAGCATTGCCATTGGTACAGAAAACTAATATGTATAAATAGAATACACACGACCTTCAAATAACATTAGCCATTTTCAATTAAAAGCATCTTTTCGAATATACCCGTTTACATGTATGATTCCATCAGATGGGGAAAGTATTATTTACCGATGTCAGATTTCTACATTTAAAATGTGCATCAAAACGGATAGCAATAGTTATATTTTTAATATCTCAATTCACACTCATCTATCTTCAATTTCTCTCTCCATGTCTTGTAGGAGACATTTTAATTGCAGAATAAAATAATGTTCAACACTTGTTTCATTACTGTATAGATAACGAATTAAGTGTCACAAAGGGTTTTGTGCAATAGGTATTGGTCATTTTATGCTATTACATACGTACTTTAAGAAATTAGTCTCAACGGAATGTTCTCTTGTATTAACAGATCATTATAATTCTTTACATATGGAGACACGGGTAACTCCGGCTGCTTCATAGTTCAAGTTTAAATTACTGGTTCCAAGGCAACTGTCTTATACATGTGAATAAATATTTTGTCAATAAGCATATTTTTCATATATTAATCAGTATTATCTATTATCCAAAGAAAACATATATTGAAATATCCCCTATTCTACTTATAATTTAATATATTTCACTGTAATATTGCTACAATGATTTGCTATGCTCTATAGCTGAGGGGAAACAACTGTATCAAAATGTTACATTCCTAGAACGTCGCACTCAGATAATGGAGTAAATAATATCCGGGCGGATTATCTAAGTAGCAATATAAACGTGATGTAAATGAAAAATGTTGTATGTTATGTATTGCAAACGATACAAAAAAAAATTGTATCCCATTGTCTCTAGACATATCTGTGCAATAAAATATCTGTAATCATATTACATATGCAATAATCTAACTTAATAAAGTCACTTATACCCACATTTATAAGGGCAACCAATTTGTAAGTTATACATTATATAGGCCGGTCAAATAAGGCGAATTTTTCTCGTTTATAAATGAACAAACAGTTTCGGCCGTAATAGCACCCCTGCTGAAACTTGCTTGAATACTACTGGCTCATGGCATTACGAAATCATTCTTTAACGTATTAAAGAATAATATCGGTGAAATGATACTTAGTATTTTTAATATATTTTATAAATTATTTTGAGCCTTTTGTCACAGATATAAGTAATACAGATGTAAGTTTTGTAAACTCATTTACAATATACTAAATGACCTCATCATCTAGTTTCTTTTTTCGTTGCTATTAAACATATTAATTATGTAAAAAAAAAATAGTCTAACATAAGTCGTAATGGAGTTATATACTAAATATATAACAATCTGAGTTGAAAAGAAACAGTGACATAAATATTTGTAAATTATTTAATATCCCTTATTTAAACCTCGTGTTCATGTAAAAGCATATTTGGAATTCCATCGTTGATGGGAAATTTTCTGCCAGATTCTGGACACAATAAGTCTCCATTTATAACTTCAACCTCCAATAGAACATGATGAGCCTTTTTCAAAAAGTCTTCGTTTGACTCAAAATCCTCTATTAAAATCTGAGGTAACTCGCCAACATGTCCTATCTGTAATAAGATGGTTAATAACTCAGTCTTGTCATGAAATATTTCATGTCACGTTAATGACATGAAATATTTCATGTCATGTTAAAAAAAAATATATACATATATATATCTTAATAATTATTATATATATATATATATTTTTTTTTTAACATAGACACATTAAGACTTACACTCTCTGCAGCTTTCCACAGTACTGTCCAGTCTAATTTGGGGATTATCCTAGCGATAAAATCTGAATTAAAGTCTACTTCAGATACCTTGATATCCCTCGCCTGCAAATTTTCACAAGTATCTTTTGATGTCTCAAATGTACTTTGATTTCGTATAAAAAGTAGAATATATCACATTGAGGTAAGGTGGAGATATAGTTGATCAAAATAAGAAGATAATATTCGGCGATAAATGCGAACATGAGCCAACATGATTTGTACAAACTAACGTGGTTCGTAACCTTTCTTTACCAAACCAACTCTTCTCTCGAAATCTCTGATCTACATTGATTAGATTAACTTTCTTTATCCCCTAAAGAAATTATTATTATCAACTGCGACTTATCACAATGATAAATCCGTAAGAATGCACTTCCTCAAGAGCAAAAAAAATTCAATCATTTCAAACGCCGACTACGATGCTGAACAGCAATAGGAAAGCTAACCTCAACCTCACCGCGCTGGAGAATATCGAAGAATAACTTACGATGATTTTCAGAGGATAACCAACAGTAACACCTTTCAGACACTTGGACGTTAACATATTGTGCGTGAGAAGCTTCATGTTGTTCAATAATCAGCAATCGGCGACAGCAAGTTACTTATTCAATACAACAACACAACAGAAGGATAAACGTGCGCGACGCTACGCAATGCTGCGAAAATATTGTGACGCGCACTCCTTTTGCGCATCGAACGCAGCGTGTATTCCCTTTATAAGTTTAATATTATTTTTATAAAACAGAATAATTATTTATACATGTATGTATATAGCAAGAAAATCTTTTTGAGAACCGCGAAAGTTCGATTGATAATTCATTTTTGATCCGGGTATGAATAAATCAAACATATCTCGTGTCTAAATATTAGTCATCCGAATTTGGAACTGCATCCGATAGTTTGACAGTTGTAATAAAAGCATCAAATTGTAAATGAATTATTTATAGCGCACACTTTTTACATCTTAAATATGTGATATTTTCTCTTAGAAATGTATTCATGAATGCATGATCAGTGACAAGATAATCGAATAAATCAATCAAAACATTTCTTTTCCTAACTTGCTCGCGATTCTCTGCGCTTGGGATCTCTTTTTTTTTAGCCGACGTACGTGTCGTATTTAAAATACGATTCGGACGACGAGTGCGACTCGGCCGAGTGCCGAGGGTCGATTAATAAAGACGAAAATGACAAGATAATCGCGACGTTTCCGGAAAAATGTCTCGCGCCCCGGTTCGTGGCGAGGTGGCTAACAGTCACGTGACTGCTCCCGTTCTAGTCCTCGCATTCGCCTCGCCAGAGATAATACCGAACGGCGATAATCATGTCAGATGCGGAGAGATCACCGTCGTTCACCGCGAAACAGTTGACGTCGACGGAATATCGGTAGTTGTTTGTTCGCGAAGATCGGACGGAAGTGTCGCGAGTGTCGGGAGCGAGAACGGGGAAGGTGAACGGGTTCGCCGCGCGCGCGGAACATATGGTGAAGCTCGTGTATTCCCCGCGCTACGAGGCTGGAAAACCGTCTCGGCGAACTGACTGCGGCCACATCATCTGGCCTTGATGAAAATACGTAATCAGCTGTCCTTACCGTCCATTGTTTATCTTTGCCAACAACGAGAACGGTATTCCGTGGCGCGCGCGCGATCCTCTCCCGTTCACCAGTTGGATTCTAACCACTCTCGACGCGTCGCCGAAATCCCATCTCGGTTACGACGCGAATGAGAGAGAGAGAGAGAGAGAGCTCGCGGGGAGGATCCGCCGATCTGTGAAATCCCGTTTGCGACCGCGATTCGTCGACAAATTATGATTCGTCCTTGCGATCACACGTCGAACGCGTCTTGCCACCTGGTCGGAGCGATAAGACCATGTGTGTGACATAAGACGGCACGAGTCTCTCGATTGGATCGTGTGATGTGTCATCGATTTAAAAAACAGTGATATGTCTCGTGTTTAAGGGGCGAAGAGGAGAAGTAGAAAGATCTTATAGAGAGAGAGAGAGAGAGAGAGAAAACTCGCAGTGTACTCTCCAAAACATTTTTGTTGAGTTGTATATCTCTTATCGTGTACGATAATGGAGATCGCTGAGATGAGATGAATTGATTTGAGAAGAATTCCCGATGGACCATGTGTAATATCACGAGAGTAAGATCTTGACAAAAAAAGGGAGATTTATTTTTTTTAGCAAACAATGGCTTGCGACACTCTTATTTGGGGGTTGTTGCTCTTGGGATGTAGCATACAGGCATTATGGGCTATATCCGAAGACGATCCCTTAGAATACATGAGCAAGGAGGAGAGAGAAGCTTTAAAGTTCGTACCAACTACTGTGTATTATAACAAAACATTAACCATATCAAAATGACCAATTTCTCATGCTTGTGCTATTACATGTTACAGAGAAGAAGCAAGAGATATGTTTTATCATGCATACAATGCGTACATGGTAAATAATAATTTATAAAAACTTGTACTTATTTTTTTAATTGTATACACTGATATTTATTGCGATAGAAGCGATAACGTATAGTAATTTTTATGATTCTTTTCAAGGATAATGCATATCCTGCTGACGAATTGATGCCATTAAGCTGCAAAGGACGGTATAGAGGATCAGAGCCAAATAGGGGTGATATAGATTCTACATTGGGAAAGTAAGAAAAAGCAAATCAAAGGAGAACTTTTACATGTGAAATCTCTCTCCTATCTATATTTTCATTTTAATTATAATCCACTCTCTAATATATATTTGTATACCACAATTTTTTTAGTTTTTCACTTACTTTGGTGGATACACTAGATACATTAGTGGTAAGTTTAATAAAAATAATCATTTAATATAATAATGCAAGTGTTAATTTAAAAAAAAAGAAAAACATAAATGCAAATATTTTTATATATTTCAGGTATTGGGAGATTTGGAGGAATTTGAGAATGCGGTCAAACTTGTTGCTAGAGATGTAAGCTTTGATACAGATGTTATTGTTTCTCTGTTTGAAACAAATATTAGGATGCTGGGGTGAGTCATATTATGCTGTTGAAACAAATGTTACATATAGGTATGTAAGGTATATTTATGAATATTTTTGTGATCATGCATATAATATACACATGTTTAAATATTATTAACAGAGGTCTTCTCAGTGGTCATATATTAGCTGAATACCTGCAACAGCGGGCCGATATAATGCCATGGTACAGAGGAGAGCTTCTAGACTTAGCTAAAGATTTAGGATACCGATTTTTACCTGCATTTAATACAACTACCGGAATACCTTATGGCAGGGTGATTGTCTACGATGCATGATACTCTTAAACGTTAACAGAGGCGCGCGATTGTTTCCCTAAATTTCCTAATCTTCCTAACATTTTTCTTGCAAATTTCTTTATATTTTCACTAATTAAAGGAGCAATTGCGCGTTGGGACATTCAAACCGTACGCTTGATTTGCTGAAACAATCACTTCAATATCTATGTGTTTTACAGATCAATCTGAAACATGGTATGAGAGGAGTTCCTATGGAAGTATCAAGAGAGACTTGCACCGCCTGCGCGGGTAGCATGATATTGGAAATGGCTGCTCTGTCGCGGTTAACAGGAGAGTCGATTTTTGAGGTGAACTGTCCCACGAAACGGCCGAATGCTGAGTGTATGTACTCCTAGCTGATTAATTAGTACTAAAATGGCTAACCTATTTCCCTTAGGAGAAAGCACAGAAAGCCATGGACGTTCTATGGCGAATGAGGCATCGCGGTACAGACCTGATGGGATCTGTACTAAATGTAAATTCTGGAGATTGGGTACGAAGAGATTCCGGGGTCGGTGCTGGCATAGACTCTTACTACGAATATTGTCTCAAGGCATACATTTTACTCGGTAATCATCTGTAGCTTTATACGTACGCCACCATTTTTATCCACCGCCGAAACATCTATAATTATCTCGTGACTTTCTGTACAGGCGATGAAAAATACCTAGGACGTTTTAACAAGCATTACCAAGCTGTAATGAAGTACGTTAGTCAAGGACCCATGTTGCTGGATGTACATATGCATAGACCGAACACGAACTCGAAAAATTTTATGGATGCTTTATTGGCCTTTTGGCCAGGTCTGCAGGTATATTGTTGACTCTTGATCGACAAGAAAGAATGCTCATCTAACGTTATTTCTCTCAGGTCCTCAAAGGCGACATCAAACCCGCTGTAGAAACACACGAAATGTTGTATCAAGTTATGCAAAGACACAACTTCATACCGGAAGCGTTCACCACCGATTTTCAGGTATATATTATTTAAACATTGCAGCTCTATGAAAATATGTAATATTATCTCGTATATGCTTGAAATCTCGTATGCGCGTGAAATACTATTCTTCGCCTCCTCCTATATTTTTCTCTGATATATATATTACAAACAGGTGCATTGGGGACACCATCCATTGAGACCCGAGTTCTTAGAGTCAACCTATTTCCTATACCGAGCCACAGGCGATCATTATTACTTGGGAGTCGGACGTAAGGTACTCAAGAGTCTGCAAACGTATGCGAGAGTGCCGTGCGGTTACGCGGCCGTGTCAGACGTTAGAACTAACAAGCACGATGATACAATGGACAGCTTTGTATTATCTGAGACCTTTAAATACTTATTTCTGTTATTCACGGAACCAGGAGAACTCGTTTTAGATTTGGATGAATTCATCTTTACCACTGAGGGTCACTTACTGCCGCTCACACTTGCTTCCATAAGGACAAATATATCGTCTGTAAGTGTACCATAGTGCGATACATCGGTGCGACATAAGATAGACATCGTCGAATTGTACCTGACGTTTCAATCAAGCAGGATTTCGAGCGGGATATCGTGCACGTGGATGAATTCGACCGTACTTGTCCGAATAGCTTGCACTTGTTTCCCGCTTCCGTGAGACAACCTTTGCGAAATATGGTCGAGGATGTCTGCCCGAGACGGTCGCTCAAGCGAAGATTGAGCGCATCGCAATTTCAGGTATATCTCAGTAATATTTGCGCGTCTATCTCGAGCAAAAGGAACTGCCTAAGGAATCAATTATTTTTTTTTTCTTTATATAGGCCAATAACTTGGAGCATCTGAAAATGTTGAGTGATATGGGAATAACAACTCTAACGCTAGCGGACGGGCGGGTTCAACTTTTGCACACATTTTCTAATGTAACTAATTTCTTGCATGATGAAGTATTATATATTTTGCTCGCTGTTTTATTGTTATTTCGTTTCTTGAACAGGCAAAGACACCGCAAGACTCGGAGGAGGGATTACTGTTCATGCAGGAGATGGTCGAACTGAGTAAAATGCAAACGCAACAGCCAGAAACTAAGCCGCAGACGGTGACATTCGTGAAACCCAAGACGGATCCACCGGAGAAAATTACGCTGTTAGCTGGACCGGCCCAGTTCGGCCCTGAATTGCAGAGTTTCGATAAGATCACGGGAAAAGTGATATTCACCTATCCGCCTGCAGCTTGCACCGATTTGCTCAACGCGGACAAATTAACGGGAAAAATAGTAATTATGGATCGCGGAAATTGTATGTTCATAGAAAAGGTATACCGCTTTTCACAGAACGTTTCTTTTTATAACCGGTTTTCTATTCCTTTTTTTTTTGCATTATTTATTATTCGTACCATGATTTTAGGCGCGAAGAATTCAACAGGCTGGTGCACTTGCTGGAATAGTGTTGGATAATGTTGCTGGTTCGAGCGCAGCGACTTCGCCTATGTTCGCGATGTCCGGTGACGGAAAAGAGGTGGATGACGTCACGATACCTGTCGTGTTTCTATTTTTCACGGAGGCAGCTGAGCTAATGAAGGCCATTAATGCGGCGAATGGCGATCTCACAGTTACACTTGGTAATAAAGACAATAAACATATCGTATAATGAAATGAATAATTGCACAATGTTAATTTCATTGTACATTTGTCAATTGTAGGAATATATTCTTCGAAAGAAGAAGTTCAACTTAAAGCACCTACGGATTTGTCGTTGTTCGAACGTCTGAAAGGCTCGTTGAAATCATTTCTTAGCCGGCATGTGACACCACAGGTCTGTGGATTTCTGAATTATCGTTTGCGAGAAGTTTATTCTATTCCTTATGTTCCGAGAGAAATTTTCATTGAGATTTTGTATGTCTGCAGGCGACAACCACAGGATCCAGTCTGGATATTACGATTCCTGTGGTCGAATCGCAAGAGTATCAAGAAGACACTATCGACTTCCATTATTTCCATGCGGAAATTATTAAAGATTCACTTGGTGGTGAAGTAAAGATTACCGCGCCGTCCGAGGATGCAATTATCATCTTAAGACCAGTTTCTACACCGGTAGAGATCTTGTGGTATCAATTAAAAGAAGTGTTTGTCAATCAGATATTCTTGAACAGCAAGCAAAATAAGGGTATACGAATTAGGAGTTTCATCTTGGAAAGCTATTACAACTGGGTGAATAAGGCACGTGGTGTGTTAACCAAAACGTCGTTGGCTTACAAAGTTCGATGGTTTTTGAGCGAATTATTAGTGGTCGCACCAAATTCGTCTATTAGGAAGATGGGACAATTGCTGGAACCGACGAAACAGAAACTGTTGAAACAATATCTGCTTACAAATATGGACACTATGGTGCTAAATTTAAAGACTGTGGCTACGAAATTGAAAAACATGAAGTCGGTAAGACCTGATATGGAGCAGTTGCTCAAAATTTCGGAGTCCGGCATCGCACAGGTGGAAAATTACTCGTTTTTACGTCACTTGCTGGCGGATTTGTTCGACGAGGAAGACGAAATCGTTAGTCAACACATCGCCCTTCTGGATCACATTCACGCGGAGGTACATACTACATATCAAGAAATATTAATCGATGGAGTGCAAAAGCATCTGGAGAAATCGGGAGAAGAAGACAGTTCGTATTACGACATATTGATTGCCGATCTGCAAAAGAACTTGAAGAATGTGGATAAAGGAGAAAATTTACTCGGGAAAACCAAAGAGGACGACTTGGCGGTTGCGGAATTCATAAGCGACAGTACTGGCGGCAAATCGGAGCTTAAAGGTAGAAATATCAGGGTCTTAGATGAAAATATGAAGATTCTAAAGAAAGGCAAAGAATTAGACACCGAAAAACTCGAGGACTTTGAATATTTTATACTAACGGAAATAGGGAAAGCAGCAAAACATTCCGCGCAAAATATCCTGCACAAGTATGAAGGTACGAGCGATGTGTCGAAAAATGTTATCGCTGAAGATAAGAAAGGAAAAAATCCCGATAAGAGTGAAATCACCTTGCACTCCCCTCAAAATCAAAGTAATCAAGAAGATAAGAAGACTAAGACCCAAAGTTCCCTCAAGGAAGAGATAGATTACTCGCGAACAGCGAAATCAGCAGACGTAAAACTTGAAGAAACAGTTGTTAGAGATGAGAAGAAAGAAAAATCGACGGATTCTTCAGTGGATATGAACGCCTCTAACGCAAGGACAACTTCTGCCGACGAAAGACACGCGTTATTGCAGGAAATTCGGAAGGATATCAGTGACACGCAGAATAAACAGAAATCTGATTCCAAGGCAAAACTGTCTAAGCAGAAAAATGTAGCTGAAAGTAAAATCGTACCTACTGATCTGTTAGAAGAATTTAAAATATGGGCTGCCATATGGGCTGCCAATGAGGAGAAAGACTTCACGGAATTTCGTAAAGACTCACAAGTTTCAGAACCGCAATATAGTGCCGTAGAATCGAGTGAATTAAAATACGAAAAAAAACATATAAATATAGACAAAGATAAGGAAGTTAAACCAAAAACCCACACAGCCAAACATATCGACGATGAATTATAACAATAGCTTTTGAAATTTAGGTCAAATTATAATTATTATGCAGAGACAGAAAATCGATTTCCAACGGCCATAAGGCTATCTGCACCGCAACTGATATTTTTGCACTGTGATCCAGATGTGTGTGCAGTGAACTTTAATGACTTTTATATATACAGAATATCCTAGGAAAATATTCCAGTTATTTGATAAAGCTCACTTTAGATGATGTGCAATTCGCGACTGTTATCGGGGATGATATTCCACTTGAAACAAAACACAAAATATCAGAATTAGATTTGCAGATGTACGCAAGTACATTTGTAAAACTTAAAACGTTTTGCTATATGACACATGAGATTCTCTCATATCGTGAATTATTAATAATTTAAAGCGGGCTTTAAAAGAGAAACAAAAATTAAGGTCGTCAAATTGCAACGACACTATACATTGTAACTCTATAGGAGAATTTCCTGGATTCTACACTGGTGCTTATGAGAAAATTTGTTATTCCAGAAAAAACGGTGATGTTACTATGAAATGTATAATAGGTACTATGGACGTAGCCTGTACAACACATGTGTGTTAAAGTGGTTGTGAAGATATATTCTGAACAGGGCTCTAAACACTGATGTACATTTCGTGTATTGTAGTATGATCTGTATGTTAAAGTATATGATAACGGCATATTATTTCTTCCACAGAAGCAGATTTATGTTTCGATGAGAGTCTATTCTTTGACTTCTATGTATTATATCATTGTATTATATGACTGTAAATGTACGAAAAGAGAAAAGCGTTAATATTCTGTGATGTATGAGCTCATAACATCACGAGTCAAAATAGACACATTGTTATTATTCTTCTTTTGACGTTTTGTACCATTTTACTCCAAAGATGTGCCATTATTAACGATAATATATGTTTATCTTGCAATGCAATTTAAAATAACATTTAGTGTACAGATACGTTCAAAGCAGTTTTCAATCTATTGTGGAGGGTTAGACATTAATTTTCGTTACTCGATTTGTTAAACATTAATTTATGAGACTTTCTGCCACCTGCATATCGTCTTACATAAGATAAACGATTCTAATTTATGCCGAATTACGCAATAAGTTTTGTACGAGGCGTTTTTCCCCCGAATTTTAAATTAAACGGTATTCAAGTCCACATTCGGTATGGTATTAAACGATAAACGATGATATGTTAAATATAAAATAATGTAACTATTCAGAAAATTATTTTAGTTGTGATCCGTAGGTAGGTTAAGATATGCCTTAAATGTACATAAACTTGTACATACAGAGAGATATGTCAATGTATATAATGTATAAGAGAAATACTGTGTTACATAAAGTAAACTTTATTATAGTGTTGCAAAGAGATAATCGAGGATAAGTTTGGCCTTTTTGATAACTTTCTGCTTTATATTTTTTTTTTACTTGGGAACTTGTACACACCAGTTACATATGAATACATTCTATGAAATACAGCATTAATCTCTCGTGTAGTAGTATAAGAAATCGTTCTTTAATATTAATGTCAGATAATGTGCAAATAACTCCAAATGTTTACAGTTACATTTATTTCGATATCACATATTTTAGTTATATAAATATCTGTATATGTTATATACTATATTATATATATATTATATATTAATTGTAAATAGAAACGCTAAACGCGCATCTAATGAGTCTGCTGTTTGATGTTGAATAACAATTTGCTGATGGAGATGCCAAACTGAATATTATTGGGTACATTGTACATTGAAGTGATCATACCTTTCTGTAAGTTGTCTGTATATATGAATATTGCCTAATACACCACTATGTGTAAGTGGTTTTTTTGAGAGGTACATGTTGAAATAAAAAAGATTGAAAGAACATGAACATGACTAATGTTTGAAAAATGCTATTACCAAATAGTATTGTAAACGTGTAACACGTGTGCAAGCAAAGTTTGTACAGATGTGTGTTTATTTCCTAAATTAAATTTTTACCATTGATAGATACCGATTTTGATCAATTGATCAGAAAATTTGGAAACATGCGTAATAAAATAATGCAATATATTCATATTTAGCATGCATTGTTGTGTTCAAACCTTTCAGATGTTTTACTATAAAATTCAACTTATCAGTATTCTATAGGTATAGTCTTGACATCATGTGACAGACGCATGAATATAAAACAACGATGAAACAGAGGTAATGTGCAGAGGGAACGCTAAATGTTTAGGGTGTACTAGAACAATACACATTTTTTCATGTGTGTATATCATTTCATCGATTTTGAATTAATTTCTCTTTTATCATTTATTCTAATTTTTGCTGATTATTCTGGCATCATGTGTAACGTTTCATTTTACATTTTTATGAAAGAATAATCGATTTAAGAATAGTCGAAGAATTTACAATCGAAACAGGAGAAACAAATTGTTCTGGAACACCCTCTGTAGTCAGAATAGTCGAAGAATTTACAATCGAAACAGGAGAAACAAATTGTTGTGGAACACCCTCTATAGTCAGAATAGTCGAAGAATTTACAATCGAAACAGGAGAAACAGATTGTTCTGAAACATCCTCTGTAGTCAGTAACATTAGTAGCACATCGGTTGCACGTTTCTATAACCTCGTTTCTGCAAAGTAAAACGGGCGATATACGTAACGAATAAACGAAAGTGATATACGCAAATTGTTACATCTGGTCAGAGGAAATTGCGCGTAAAAGCGGAGTGTGTCGTAAAAGCGCTCGAAGCGTGGAATCACGTGTCCAAGGCACAAAAATACTCGTTTCGACGCTTCGGACTTACGACAACCTGTCTGTTAGTCGTCGTTGGCGTTGCGTCAATGTAACGAAGCTATTTTAATTTCGAATTTCGGATGACCCTGATGTATGCTATCGGGTATTTGAGACGCACTACGAGCTCGTGCTGGTATTTCTGTGACATAGATCGAAATCTACGGGACAGTGGCAATTGATCGCGAAGGTAAGGGATTCCAATTGTCTCCAGCGCACGATAATCGACATCTACTATATTTCACGAACTCATTAATAATGTAGCATTTATCAGGTTTTTTGATCTTTCCTTTATGTTACGTCTATCTTGTGGATGTCTCATGTCTCGATTGTATATGTTACATTCTGCGGAAAACCAACATTTGCAGTGAAACAGGTGTCTGAAGTGCTTGGAGACGACAATGTGTATTGACTATATAAATGTATATAGTTATTATTAAATATTTTGTTAATTTACAATATCATATAATAATTGAAAAGCAGCTATTTGTTATCATTGTGTATATGGAGACTCTATTCATGTTCATCTTAATAGGTTAAACTATATTCTAAACCTTAATCATATTTATTTTCATTCAATTTGTTTTACTTTAATGTGTGTTTCTCAAAACCACTATCATTGTATCATCCTGTCATTATTAATTGGAGAGATCAAATTGTTTTCCCCCAGATGGGCGATATTAAGTACTATGGAAAAAGAAGAAGTATTGTGAGGAGGATCGGTTCTTTTCTACCATTGAAGCCACCACCAAAAATATATGTTAGTGTAACACCCTTACACTCTATGACAAGTTCAATGATCAATGAGGACATTAGTACCAATTACATGGATACTAATGGATATGGTCCTGTCAGGTCAGTAATTTGTCTTTGTAATTTGTCATTAAGTGGTAACAGTAACTGTATCATTTCGAATATAGGCAGATTTTGCCTCAGAATTTCATATTATTTTTTAAAATCAATTTAAAATCAAATTTGATAACAGGCTTTCTGGCAGTAGACCGGATCTGTTAGAACCGATTAGTTTTGGATCTGAAGTACGATTGCTCGCGCTAGAGCAAGAATTGCAAGAACTTAGGGAACAAATCTCAACAATTGTGAAGAACAACAAAATGTCCAAACGTATGTATGACATATTCAAGATACATATCCTGCAACACCTGGGGAGAATTAATAGAGACATGTTTGTTTTATAGACGCGTCTATTGTATCTCTGCCCAACGGAGCAGGCAATGGTGAATCTTTGCCAGCACCACCACCCTTGCCACCCCCGCTTCCACCGCCACCTACAACGCCGCATATCGCGAGAAGGGCTAGCTTGCAAGATCACAAAATCGAGGATCGCAAGAAGACTATGATGAACGTGCAGAAATCGACGGGAGATATGCTGAGTGATATCGACAATGTAAAATTGAGGCCAATCGCGAGGTATTCCATCATAAGAGGAAAAGACACGTCATATACCATTGGTGGTACACGTGATAGCGAGTTTTAATTTTCAATCGGGTAAAGTGTGATACTGCATCATATCGATTTTCTTCTTACAGATCCCCAGGTGGACATCCTATACGAGTGAAACGTGAGAATAGTCCGTGCAATGATTTGCAGGAGATCCTACGAAGACGTTACGTCGCGATGCAATCTCCCGACAGCAGAAATTCATCGACGGCCAACTTAACTATGGACGATTCATTTTGAGCGTTGTACGTGAAGCATGCTCGAGTGCCATTCTGTGTACATTCACGCGAAATTTAGGATTTTTACACGTAAAAATTGCTGCGGCATACGCAATATCGTTACGTTTGAATTCTCATTTGCACTCTGCATTAGCCGATGCCTACGGTAAGGGAGTCTTAAACCAAAGATCAGTTTGTTGCACGGACGTAACGTCACTCAGGTAGAATATTTCCTTCGTGAGGAAGAAGTCATGATTAAAGCTTTGTTCTTTTGCTGATGCGATTTTGATGGGAGGTCATTTTTAATTTGTTACGACTGAAGCGATTACTCTAATAGCAGGTACTACTAGATAAAGCTATTGAGATATCAAAGTCTCACAATGGCTCTTCCTGCAGGATCCAGCCATACGAATTCTATTGTCCAACATAGATATTATTTTTATGAAGACTCCTGACGAGAGAGATAGATAGATAGATAAGTAGGTAGGTAGATAGATAGATAGATAGATAGATAGATAGATAGAGTATACGATTACTGCTGTTTATATATTATTGATGTAAAGGGGAAATTTTAGTCGATCGCGTGTAAGAAAAATAGATTTTATTGGTCCGTACGTATTAGAATGAGATTTGAATTATAACAATGTCGTAAACAAATTAAATTTCATTTGGATACGCGGAACTTGCTTCTCTTAAATTTTAAACATTGACACAAATTTTTGTAATTGCACTGGCGCAGGATACATACCTCGATTATTAAATATTCTCGTGTGTGTAAGCGAAAGTATGTAAGATATTTCATTACTAATTTAATTCTTCTGGAATATCTCATTGTATTCATTCATTTTTTTATATTTGCAATCTAACTGTGATTTTTAATACCGTCTAAATCATGAAAATCTCAGAGTGTGAACAATACTCCGCTACCACTTAAAAACTGAATCCAGCGAATTAACAATTTCACGTTCAAGAAAATACGCGAGAAATTAGTGATAATTATAATACAATCGTACGAATCATTAAACTCTACTTTTCTTACGATCTGTAATTACGTAAACTATTACAGTAACACAGTTAGATGGATATTAAGTACTGTCATACACAAATTGATATAAAACCGTGTGGACTGTGAGTAAGCGTCTAACTGATGAAATACTCAACATAAGTTATCATATTTATGCAGAGTGCTTCAGCGGTTTAGAAACTTTGATAAATTTGCGTAAGATGATTTCTTAGTGTATACTAATGCGCGCTATGGTGCATCCAACTGTAATTCACTAATAGAAATTATTTCTGCGAAGTTGTGGTCGTTCGAATAGCGAACGCGCATCTCACAAGAAGATTGAGTTACTTTGAATGCTTTTAGGACCGGTTCCACTAACATCAATTGAAACTAACTTGGATTATTGCATACATTTTTCTCCTTGTTTGTAAAAAGGTACAAATATAATAGCGATTCACAAAATTGATTTACTTGATGCAGACTGTTGGTGAGATCGGGCTTTAAAGTATTAAAAATGCGAAACTAACTTTCAACTCGGGTATTTTGTTTTGTTTACAAATGTATCGTTTGTAAGATTCTGAAGATCGAGAAATTTTAAGGAGAATTGCATTACAAACAGTGATTCAGGGAATGAACTTGATGGTGAACTTATCATACTAGAAGGGATAAATTTCTAACTCAGAAATACTGTACATGAAATTACCGTAGCTGATTTTATTTTTTTTTACATGGAATGGCACATGAAGAGTCGGTTAAATAGACTTTTTGGCTAGATATTGAAGAAAAAGGAATAAATTTATGATCGATACGATTTTAGGTTTCTAGAAAAAAATATCTGAAGTCACTTTATGAAAAGAAAAGAATATAATCTATAAATTTATATGAATATATTATTTTAATAACGCAGAAAGGAATCTGATATGAACTGGTAATTTCAATGTTCTCTTTTTTTTCCCATTAAAATAAACTATGGTGGGATTCTATATTTCCGCGTGTAACAAAATCAAGAAATGGAATTTTCAATTTTAATCGCGTAAAGATTCGTACGCGACTCGTATTCGGAGACTGAACGGTATCTTCGACGATATTACGAATGTACAGATGCGTTTTATACATGAAGCTTTTATCGATGACTTATGAAAATAAATTTTATTGTTAAATAACATCAATGTGTCTGATTTAATTTTGTATAAACCTTTTTGAAGGAACATATCCTTAAAATATAACTATTATGCTTTTTCTCTTTCTCGTGCTTAATTGTGATAATGTTAATATTAATAAATAAGGTTCGATTTGTAACAAATTCGGGATGCAAAGTTATAAAAAGGCTTAATAAGAAATTCAAATAAATTGTGGTTAAATAAATTGTGTGTTAAAAATGCCACACATATCTTAACACAAACATCATATTTGTAAGTATAAGAAAAGAAAGTATACATATTCAGCAGATATATTATTTGTTGCACTTTTATTTTATTGTTATTTATCGAATTCGGCGAGTTGAACAGCCTAGAAGTCGAACACAGCGACTTGAATCCCGAATTGCCACGATTGTGACGAATATGTTAAATTCTATTTGATATTTCCGACGGTTCGTTCCACGAAATATTCACCTTCATTGACTGTTTTACAATATTTCATCATGACGAACGCGCGAAATTTACTTTCGGTATTCCTGACAACGATCCTTTTGTCCACAATCTTGCTTTAAGACGTAAGCAGTAATCAAATTGGCCAACCACGTTCATTTATTAGAAGAATAATTAGAAAAATAAAAAGAAGAAAGTAAGATTATTGACATGGGGGTTAACTCACACGTGACACTCGCTTTCAACCGCCCAAAACCGCAGAGAATACGAAGCACTTTTTTCGGGTCCAGACCTTGTACCGTTCGTACGTATTATAATAATGGCGACGATTTTCAAAGTATTCAAGTCGCGCTTAAAAATGAACGCGCATGCGCGAGTACCACTCTAATCAATTTATTTCTCAAAACCAAACAATACAAGTTATGAAAAATACTCTTATCCTGTGACAAAAAATAACAAAATACACTAAATAATTATATATAGGAGACTTTTGATTTGTTACTTCGATTATTGTTACTTCAATAATCGCTCAAAAGTTCAAAAGTGGCGTGACGTCCTCAGTTAACGACGTTCGTCTAAGTTTCAAACACGCGCCGCGTTCGCTCCGGGTTCGTCCTATCTTTTTATCGATCAAAGGTGAATTTCGCATGCAAATTCGTGTCAAGAATGCCGATCTAATGACGGGCTATCATTTTAACGTGTCAAATCGATCGATATAAACGGATTGGACGAAATAACTCGCGATGTTCGTAATCGGTGTACGTACCGTCATGTCGGGAACATGAAAGCGGTATGAGAGACAAGGAAAAAAACGTGTCCGCTTCTACTTGACAAAACAGACATCTTGGGAATTAGGAATCACGTCATGCTTTCGTATTTCAGTAAGTTTATAATTTCTACTTGCATAAGCGAGCAATATCGCGACGAATTCATGATTTCGGTTGACGAGGTATAATGGCGTCGTTCGCGATATTGAGATAGCGCTAAACAACTGCGCGGCGCGCCGTCCGATGGCGCTGCGTGTCACTCGGGGAACGCAGGATAGAGGATCGATGGATGGATTCAGAATCAGTAGAGCGCGGGAACGACAACAAAGTTCGGCATGAGTCGAGGAGACGCGCATTGGCGCATTTCGCTCTCTCTCTCTCTCTCCTCCGAATGGACGTAGCCACTGGTAAATAAAGCGCGTTAACGTGAGTTTCGCAGTCGAGCTGTATCTTCCGCATGCCGAGTAGTTCGTGCGGGAACGGTGGTCGTTCGATGTCCCGGGCGCCGTGTAACGACAATCGCTTCTCGATCCGAGAGTGTGTTTACGAAAGATATCACGAGCAAGGTGAGGACGAATCTCGGAAGAAGCGACTCGACGTGAAACGAAAAAGATCGCTCGCCATATGTGCGTGTGTAATCGGCGTTGGAATGGGGTCGAGACGCTTCCGATTTCATAGGTAACCTGTACAAACTTGTTTCGATGCGTAGATCCAAATCGTAATGTGAAAATAATGGTGAACTCTGGTTAGGAATATCTTAATACAATCGGCCTGTTTCTTTTTAGCTGAACTGACTGAATATTGGTTCGAGAAATTTACGTACATTGAACGTGAAGATCTCGTACGTACGCTTCAATTTGTATGTAAATTTCTTGAGTTAGTGCGGTTAGTTCAGCTAAAAAGGCCAAATATTCCGATTTTATTACGAATGCGTTGCAACGAGCATAGGTATATGTCGTGTATGTATATGTGTGTGTACATGTGTGCGATTTGTGCATTCAAATTTCTCTCAACTTAGCTTGCATAGCATTAAATCTGTAGAGTTTACCTGCCGAACAAAAGGAGTAGTAGGACTATTCCGACTATGTACACATATACACACGTGTTACGTATTCATGTACGTTCCGACATACAAGTATAAATATATAAATGCGGACGACACGGAAATTTTCTCAAGATGCGAGTGTGGACTTAAACCCGACTCGTGATTTTTCCTGGTCGAATCGAAAATCGCGCTTAGCTCGTCGGAAGATCGCGATAAGATAAAAGCCGCCTATGAAACAGAGCACAATCGCGCTGCTCTCAGCAGTGACATGCGCGACGACTTCGGGACGAACGTCCGTTTTCTTTCGCTTATTATTCGGCAGCATGTTGTTGTCCAAATGTTGATTATCTCTGCGCAATTACGACGTGGTCGTGTTTTATCTCGTAGTTTGCTAATCGCTGCAATCTTGGCGTATGTCACTTATCTTTTTGCATTTATGTTTTCAAATCGGAAGTCTAGAGTCTCTGTTATTAGAGCTGTGATTAGGGGATTTCATGATTAGGGAAGTAACAATCCTGAACGGATGTCGCATTGTTCGATCGCGTGATCTTGGCCAAAATGAGGTTATGGTATCCTGTCAGCTAAAGTGTTTGTGTGTTGAGGAAATTGCGCGCGTATTTCCCCCAATATTTCTTATTTTTTGTTTCGAGTGATTTTTGTTTGGTGAAAACGTCGTGGGAGATTATTACTTATCGCAGCTATGCAATGTTTTTAACATATATATGCTTAACACAAATTATATACATAAAGATATTATATATATAAAGATCTATGATTTTTAAGTAAATTATAAATGAAAATTCTGTTGAAATTCACCCGCGAAATTAACCGAAGAATGCAATTTTTTAATTTGCTCTCTTCTTTGAGATTTAATTCGCGAAGCCAATTTCAAGTTGAGAGAATCTACTGTTATAGTCCGGATTTATAGTAGGTGTAACAAACCTTTAGCCTTTTACCCTAAACAGTAAAATGTAACATAATTTCTAACAAAAAAGCGTTTTCCGCGGTGCCAAAAGTCATAATATTTGAATTTTAGAAATTACGTCTGATAACGCTGGAAACGCTTCTTACCAGAAATTAGTTACAATTTAATGCTTAAAGTGTAAAAGACTAAAATGTCTATTATATAAATCCGAACTTATAAATCTTTCGATCAGCGAAATATTTATGACTAGATGCAGGAAAATATTGTAATACGTGTTGTTCCTTTGACAACACCGATCGTATCGGCACGCGTGGAATAATCGGGATATCCGTTATCATCGTTTCGACGATATTGACCGAGTTCAGTGTGCACATACGAATCTATCTAATACGACGTGCGCTTGGCCACGCATTTCATTCTACTATTAGTCGTTAGTATAAGCGGATCGCAGTTAATCGTTTGCTTCTTTGCACCTCGAACGCCCTTTGTGTCATGCTGTTTGTCCCTTTACGACAATTCTCTCGTTTTCATTCATTATTATAGTCGTCAAAGGGAAACATTACTGTACAAAGCGAAATGAAACCGCGTCTGTCGGAGGAAATGAATATTATGAAGATTTAAAATTCGCTCTTTTTCACCCACTTTTTTTACAGTCCAATTAAACAAACGAAATACGCGAGATATCGCGATTATCATTTTACGCGCAATGTAATGCTCACGGCTGAACGAGAGCACAATGAAAAAATGCGGTCCTCTATCGAATACTATCGACTATCACGCAGAGAGCGAAAGAGAGAGAGAGAGAGAGAGAGAACTCGTAACGCGGAGTATTCTTTAAACGCACTTTTATTTGTTTTCAGAAAATTCGGACGCAGGAATTCGCATCGATCCGCGACGACGATGGTCGAGCTACCCAGGTTACCGCTGGACATCGTCGTGCCACCGGGTGTGCTCTCGCGCCGAGGAGGGGTCACTATATCGGAGCAGATCATCCGAACGCTTCTCAACGTGAGTGGAACTATAATTAGATATAATCAACGGTGCACGCAGATTGCGATCGGGCGGGTGACATAACAAGCGAAGGAGACGCTTGTATATCGGCACGTTATTTTATAAATGCCGGGTATTTATCGACAGCCCGACTATAATACACACACGCTGCTGCGAATCCGCCCTTATCGAGTGGATTAAAAATATTTTAGGGACGACACCTTTTATCTCTCTTTCTTCTTCTCTCTCTCTTTCTCTTTCTCCCTCTCGTTACACCGGTTCGTTGCTTGAAATGTCTTGGCCAGCGCGCGAAAGTGTCGTTTGCCATGTAAATGGGCGTGTTACACGCGAGCGAAGTTAGAAGTTGAGAAGTTAAGAAACCGCGCTCGTTCGCTCGCAGTTTCGACCTCGATTTTGTCCTACATATACGTCCCTTCGATCCAAATCATAATTTGAGTCACACTTTAAGTTACTCGATACTGTCAAAATGCCATTTTCAAGCGAGGTAGTAAACAAAAGGACTAATTCGTCGCGTTGGTAAACCAACCAAATCGCGGCCGTAGAAATTGGCCGTAAGATCCGCGGGCGAAAAATAGTACAGGTTACAGCCGGAATATACCACGCTATTCTCAACGCGTATTTCCTCGATCTTCGGAAACAGGTGAAGGTATCCGCGGCAGTGCGAGATGAACGGAAACGAAAGCCGTGAAGCGCTAATCGCGATCTCGACATAGAGAAACGCGGAGAGCGAATCGAAACGGATCGCGAATACGCGCTCGAGCGCGATGGTAACGAAGCGTGTCGAGATTTTTTCTTCGTCTTACGGTCATGCATCGCCAATCGGCGGCGGCGT